GGGGACCGAAGATAAGATCAAAGAATTTGTGGAAGGCCTGCGAGTCGGCAATGTTGAGAGTATCACGGTGTGCCGACAGTGGCGCGAGCTAGACGAATTGATCGATGAGAGAATGAAGGTCATCCGTGAACTTGAGAGAGCATGGACAAAACATATGGGATACAAACGCCCAAAGAGCGATGGAAATACGTTGCCGCTGACCGAACAACAACCCCATGATGCAGACAATGAACGGTCCAGGCTCTTGTCCGGACATGAGAACGAGGATGTCTCGGGTTATTCGAATGAAAGACCCAAGGTTCGTATCTGGTACGGTCCATTCAAGCTTCGTTTCCGGATGATCGATGCAATCGATTACTACGAGGAAAAGCTACGGAAGATTGATGAACATATTCAAAACGCCCGAGAGAAAGAATACCTTTCTACCGAGATCGCATTTGTCACGATGGAGTCAATCGCCGCATCTCAAATGCTTGTTCAGGCGATCCTCGATCCGCACCCAATGCAAATGTTCGCTCGACTTGCGCCGGCGCCGGCAGATGTTATTTGGAAAAACACTTACTTGTCTCGTACTCGACGAATGATTCAGTCATGGTCCATCACCTTTGTCATTGCATTCCTCACCGTGTTTTGGTCTGTGCTCTTGGTTCCTATTGCCTCATTGTTGGAGTTGAAGACTCTTGAGACGATTGTCCCCCAGCTGGCCGAGTTCCTCCAGGAGCACCCGATCATCAAGTCGTTGGTTCAAACAGGATTGCCTACCCTCGCATTCTCGCTGTTGACGGTAGCTGTCCCTTATCTCTATGAGTGTAAGTTTTCCCATTCAACATTACCCTTCATGTAGTCGTTCACCTTACTGATCATCTTTGCAGGGCTCTCGAACAACCAAGGAATGGTGTCACGCGGTGATGTTGAGCTGTCCGTTATTTCCAAGAACTTCTTCTTCTCGTTCTTCAATCTGTTCCTTTTGTTCACTGTTTTTGGAACAGCAAGTAGTTTCTATGGATTTTGGGAAAGTCTTCGGGATGCATTCAAGGATTCTACGACAATTGCCCTCGCACTGGCCAATTCCCTCGAAGGCCTGGCTCCGTTCTACATCAACCTGTTGATTCTTCAGGGTTTGGGCCTTTTCCCCTTCCGACTGCTCGAATTTGGAAGTGTCGCACTGTACCCCTTTCACTTCCTGTCGGCCCGCACACCACGGGAATATGCGGAGCTGTCAACTCCTCCCAAGTTTAGCTACGGTTTCTCCATCCCGCAAACCATCTTGATATTGGTTATCTGCGTGGTTTACAGTGTGTTCCCGAGCTCGTGGCTTATCTGCCTATTCGGCCTGATCTACTTCACAATCGGCAAATTTATCTACAAATACCAACTGCTGTATGCTATGGATCACCAGCAACATTCCACGGGTCGCGCATGGCCAATGATTTGCAACCGCGTATTCGTGGGGTTGTTGGTTCACCAGCTGGCCATGATTGGCGTTCTGGCTCTGCGCCGAGCCATCACCCGGTCGCTACTCCTGGTGCCACTTCTAGGCTTCACCGTCTGGTTTTCGTACTGGTTTGGGCGTACATACGAGCCCTTGATGAAATTTATTGCCCTCAAGAGTATTAACCGGGACCAGCCGGGTGGTGGCGATATCTCTCCGTCGTCTTCGTCAACCCTCTCACCGCCATCAGGCCTGGATCGCGATAGCCTTCCGATACGTATTGGTGGACAGGACCTTGAATTGCGGCTGAAGAAGTACGTCAACCCGAGCTTGATTATCCCGCTGCATGCTGCCTGGCTTCCTGGTCGCCACCCTACTCGAGGCAATGTAAACGGTGCTTCCGCTTTCGAAGCTCATCAGACACCGAACGTTTGATCCCGTACGTTGTGCAGATTCGGGTTCGCATGATCTACCCTTGTGCCTTTTGTTAATACACTCTTTTTTTTTTACATGTCTTCGACCCATCATGTTTTACGATCTTGATACCTTCGCATTTCACTATCTTGTTCTGATATGTCTTCATGGTTATGATATCCTTGTGTGGCATATTTGCTTTCCTTTTGTCGGGCTCGCCTCGTTTGCCCCTGGCTATTCCCCTCCCGCGCAGTAATTGATCTTTGTTATTTGATTTTCCAATCTTTTCATTTATGTGTTTCAGTGTTTATGTCAAAGTAAAATATAGATTCTGTATAATACTGGTGATCCCTGAATTTTTGTCGCTTTCTACCCGTCAGGCGTGAGCGGCTGCCTTTTGAACACAATCCAGGCTCCAACTGCGGCACATTTCGTATCTAGGATTCCTCGGTAAAGATCCAAATCGGGTTCGCTAAGGTTTACTCTTTTCTCGCATTCCTGAGTTCCAAAATAAGCCCGCGGGAAACGTGGCAGTGTCTGAGTACAAAGTCAATACATGGTCTAACCAAAGAAAGAGCGGGTGAGAGGACTGAACTTTGATGTTTTCTCTCCAGCGGAAGCAAAAGTATTTGAATGTATGTAATTCGTTACAATTTCCAAAGAAAAAAGTGTGTTTGAAGGATTGACTTCAATGAGGCGGCCTGAGACATTATTCTGCTAGGGGCCACACCACAATTGTGATATATAGACATCGATTTGAAAACAACACATCATCTGTCCAATAACCCTTCTTTGCATCCGATTGAAAGTTGCCATTCGGATCGATCTAACCTCCGGTGCGGACATACCTCGAACACCTACGGAATCACCGTCTTCTGGAATCCCTGGGGTCCACATGGTCGGGGCGCATTCCTGAGCAGCGGGGGATGACACAGTTGTCTCTCTTGCGGTGAGGAGATGAAACAGTAAAAAAAAAGAACAGAGACAAAACAAACTATCCTTGGACGTTGAGGAATGTGGGATATGCTGAACTAAATACTGATTGTTCAGGGATCTTAGTATTATCTTATTGTTGTGATCATCATCACACGATTAGAGAGACATATGCATGTAAGCGGTGAGGTTCGATCGGTGCCAAGCCATGCGCTGCATCCGGGGCGCATTCCTTAATTCTCTTCCCCCGAGATCCTCTGGAATGTCAGTGTTGCAGATTGATAGTGGGTTCTTGGTTCCTTTTGAACATTGAGGGGTGTTTTTCTTGAATTGTAACCGGGATCTAGGGCTGCTACGGTGTCTTAGTAAGTGGATTATTGAATTGAACCATGGAAGGAAAGCAAATACAGTCGATGCATAAAGTTAAGCTTGGTAGTTAGGCCCATGGATCCTCAAACCCTAAACCACCCCCGTTGCCTCCAGCCCCAATGTCCATTCCAATAATATGGAATGGCAGTAGCTGCATTTAATGCATGACTACATGATTGTAATTGTACTAGTATTAATCACCTACCTAAATAGGTATGTACGTTTCTTACATGTCTCTTGACGTGATCCACTTTTTGTCGGATTTCCGCGAGGTACATCTCAGGTGCCCTAAACTCCGGTCTACTTTGTTAAAATGTCGACGTCAGAACGGTAAATTGTAATTGAAAATTAACCAAACGGCAAACCTAGTTAATCTAGTTATCGCCTCTGGAAATGGTGAGGTGCAGTATTTAATTAAACAAGTCAGCCCTTGCCTCGCCCTCGAATCTCTCGGGTTTCATTTTGTCAATTCAAATTCCCGTCGCTGCACCGCTTTCAGACGTGAGGCCAATACAACCTTACACTTAGCACGTACTTCATTCAAACTTTATTATCGTGAATTGTGTATAGACTTTTCTTAAAAGTGAGTGGACTTTCTTCTTTTGAATTAATAATTACTGGAAGTTTGGGTTCGAGAGATTGCAGATCAGCGGGCTTACTAGTGTTCTAGACGATTCATCCGCAGCTGGACACTCAGTGCTGTATAGGCTTAATTGTCTAGAGAGATCTCTTTTCCACGGGTCTTTGTGTGACTCAATTGCGATCTTGGATCTTGCTACCTGTTTTATCTCAACCGTTGAAGGCATTTCTGTTCTGGACGCCAATCAGATAATTGCCGTCAAATTCACATTGATACAATTTCAATATCTGATTTCCAAGCAATGTTCTGGAATTGAACAAGAGACTGAGATCCAGTGGTGAATATTGGATCATTCGCTTTGCTGGAAAGGTGTATCAACATGCCTGCGCTGCGGTCTGCTAGTCAAGACTGGGCCCATCAGATGTCCACGAATGCCTCCATCACGCACACCAAACGAAGGTCAACGAGGCCAATACCCTCGATTTTGAATAAGTCTGCGACAAGGTACATTTCACAGAGTCGACAACTCTCAGAATTCAATTCGACGAGCAAATCGTCCCCTCCCGCTGCAAATATTGCACCAGCAGAGATCTTACTGGAGATTTTCTCCATGCTGACACCACGGGACTTCGACAACGCCCGGCGAACATGTTCACAGTGGATGCGGACTAGCCTAAACCACAGGCTACTTGAGAAAATGCTTAAAAGAGCAGGGTGGTGGGACGCATGGTTGCAAGACCGCCAAACGCCACGCATCTCCCGGTTAGATGAGAGCGAGGTCTGGAGAATGAGCCGCCGCTTTTCGACAGAATGTCTCCTTTCGGGGCGAAAGTTGAATGTCGAGAAGTCGGGCTTTTTGACTACCGCGGTGGTAGACTTTTCAAGTCTGACTGATTCTACAAAAAGAACATCTCGCCGCACTCGATTTCAGCCTGTTTTGCAGATGACCGAAGGCAAAGGGCCTGGGGGTCAACTTTCAGCATTAGCAGTTGCAGCAAATATCTGCTCGTGACGACAGGCTGCATGATCTATATTTATTGTCTTTCAGGTCGAAAGTCTACGACAACATCTGCAACAAACTTCAGCGATGATAACTTGGTTCTAGTCTCGCGCATCTCATGCCCGTTCGATGTTCTTTCAGCCACCATAGATACCAGCAAGCCCCAATTCTCTATCGCTGCATTGCTTTGCAACCGTGTCGGCATGATCTGCAACTTGGATATGGCTTGGGCCAAAGATTCAGCTACCAAGGGGTCTCACTCCAATAGCAAAATGGCCACCTCATCCCGCCACTTCTTCTACAATATCTGCACAGTGGACAACCCACCACGGACAGTTGCTCTCTGCCCTGGCCGGCCAATCGTCGCCTTCGGCTGCGCCGCGGGCATCGAAATCCACAGCGTGAACGAAACAAAACGCAATGAACAACGCAAACACTTCACCCTCCCTCAACCCTCTGAAATCCTTCATTTCCTCCCAAGTAGCTCAGAAACACCCAGCGAGCTACGTCTCATCTCCTCATTAGCCGGACCGGGCTTGCACGAATGCAAATGCCCCCCTTCACCCTCCCCTTCATCTTCATCCTCTTCAACATCATCTCCCAAACTCGACCCAAAAAACAACCAATTCCATTTCCTCGCAGATATTCAATCCTTCAATCGCCGCCGCATTCCCCACGCCCCATCCCGTAGCTTCGTCCGCGCAACACACTGCCACCACTATCGTGCCGTCCCCATCAACGACGGTTTCCACATCATGTTCATCGAGCCACGCACAAACCTACTATGCATTGGCACCGACGCTCCAATCGGCGGGACAACAAACCTAACCCGCGCATTCGTCTGTGTTCCACCACCTTTCTCAAATACCCAAGACGGACAGACCAAGACACCGCCCCCATCCCCATCTCCCTCAAACACAACCCCACCTCCAGCAGACCTCCCAATCCCAACAACCTTCGCCGCGGGCTCTGACCTGCGCTGGGGTCTCCGTGTTGTTGCAGCCTATGGTGACCGCCTCGTGCTATACTCCATCCCCTTGGACGTATTTAACGTGATCCGTAAAGAGCGTGAACATCAAGCCGATGGGATAATGGGTGCTAGCGATCACGCGCTTGACTGGTACGTTGACGCGGAGCGGTCCCACAAGCGGCGTGAGAGTTTGGTGCAGAACCAGAATGGGGACTGGGAGTTCCTTTTGTCTGTCTCCTACCGTCCTACGGCTATGATGTGGCCATTTAAGATCTATGGCAAGGAGATCGGGTCTGTTAAGGGAACTGTGGAGCTTGCTTTGCAGTCTTCCCAGGGTGGAGTTAGAGTTTGGGCTTTTGGGGAGGATGGTAAAGCCACGGTTTTGGATGTTGATACTGTTGATGTTCCCACTCGGTCTCTTAGTGTTGGTTCGGACGGGGGACTGGAAGATCTTGGTATCGTTCAGAAGACTGGTCTGAGTGGCCTGAGGGTTTCGAGGAAACGGAAGTTCGAGGAGGTGAAGACTGGGTTTGCGGGTCGATATGGTGCTGGTCGCTATTCGGCTGGAGTGGATGTCAAGCCTTGTGCTGCTGGGGTTCATGGTATACATCAGCATCCATCTGTTCGACGTTCGTCTTTTGCAGCTTGCATTATAGATTTTAAGATTCCCTTGTATTAAATATATCATGTGAATATACTATTATCAGATTTTCAGAGGTTCAGATGTGCAGGTGTTCTCCTTTTAGCTGATGTTGGCTTCCTTCCTCTTGCCTCTTCTTCTCCTCTCCTCTCCTCTCTTCTTCTCCTTTCATCCTTCATCCTTCATCTCTCTTCCCTTCATTCTCTCCTCACTCTTTTCCATTCTGTCTGTCTCTGTCTTTTCCTCGGCTTCATCTACTCCTTCCCACTTCTCGCCTTTCACTGTTTTTCTCCTTTCAGAGTCCCTCTTGCGAGACTTTGCTTCCATTGATAGTAAGATGATATCCATGGCTTATGTCAATAATTATGCTTATCACTTTCATCTAGCCTTCTTTTACAAAATTCGCCATTTACAATGGATTCAACTCCCCTCGCCAGCCTCCCTCACGACTGCTGGCTAGAGATACTAGAGCGTCTACCACTACAGGATTTGAATAACCTGTCACAAGTTTCTCGCAACATCCGCGTTTCAGCTGAGCCTTTCTTGTATCGATCAATCCACTGGGATTGGAAGAATCCTCCGATCCACAGAATCCTGCTCCTTCTCCGGATCATCTCCATGCGACCAAAGTTGGCTTCCTACATCCGCCATGTCAGTTTGGTGTGGTGGGATGTGGAATCAGACGAGGGGACAGAGATTTGCATCCCCAAAGGAGAAGTTGACTGGGGCAAGATGATGCTACAGTTTAGGCCCACTTTGAGATGGGCCCGGAAGGTTGTTCGAGACGCGAAATTCGAGGCAAAATTCGATACGAAATGGATCACACGGCTGTTTGATGGAGATGCCTACGTCTATGCCACAGTGCTGATCTCACAACTTCACAACCTTTGCAGCCTTCGTCTGGACTACTCATTCGTGCTTGAAGGGGGATTTCCCGGGGAGATGTTACATCATTCTCTCTTTGGCAACGCACCCCCTGGCATATTAAGTCGTTTCTCAAAATTAGAAATGGCCGACTATGGAAGCAATCTTCCTCTCAAAAGGCCCCGGGACGGTGAGCCGATCAAAATTGGCAGAGCCCGTCAATTTGTCCCCTGTTTCCACCTTCCTTCCTTGAAGGTTCTCGAGTTTTGGCTCTATGGTGTGGAGGGAATTTGTGTCTTCCCTGGGCACATGCCGAAAATGTCTTTGAATTTGTCAAACCTGCGCAGTCTTGTTATTGCCAAGACACGTGTTTTGCCTGAAGGCATCGCCGCACTGGTGTCTCAAGTGCCATATCTAGAGTCCTTGCATGTGGGCATGACCTACAGATGCCGGGCAACAGCCGAGTTTCTCAGGGACCCTCAAGCCCTCCTTCGTTCCTTGGAAACTTCGGGTCAAGCAATCGAACACCTCTCTATCAGTTTGGAGCTTCCCTCATGCTGTGTAGAAACCTTCCGTCTACGTATGGCGGACGAAGCTGGCGAGCCATTTCGTGGCATCCTGAAGAGGTTCCCCAAGCTGAAAACGGCATCTTTACCACTCAAATTTCTCATCGGTTGGGGTACAACGCCCTACGAGCTTCAAGATGTACTGCCATTCACCCTCCAAGCCCTTCACATAAGGCCTGATCTCTTTGCAACCCCACACCCACACCCGATTTTCTTCGAACTGGAAACCCTCCAAGTATTAGAGGCATTCATGGTACACAAACAACGTGGCTCCCATCCTTCTCTTAGAACTTTCTCCTACCAAGGAAAGAGTGAGTATGATGAGCAGGAACTCGATGCCATGGGCTTCCCCGGGGAGTTGGGGTACGCCCACTTGATTAAGCGGGAAAAAATGAAATTATTATGTCTCAGGAAAAGGTACAATCTTCTTTGCCGATATGGCGACTGCACACCTGGGTTCATGTTAAGGAGTGTGACCTCAGTAAACAACGTCGTTTACAAATTCCCTTGGCCATTCGTTGGGATCGATGAGCTCCCCGCAAGCATGCCTCGATATTCAAGAACAATGCCACCCACACTATCTAGGTCGCCAACTGGTGTGTATTTTGATGTGAACTCCTATGCGAATTGAACTAATACCAACGCGACGCATATCCAACTGATGCCCAGCATGTAATTCCATTGTTCCAAGATATCTCCATAGCGAATTTGATCCATCTCCTCTATTTATTTTCCCTAGAGATCTTCCAGCCAAGATGTACTTTGTATAAGCATATTAGGCCAAATTCCGAGGTCGGCTTCAACGAGGTGCGTGGCCGTGGACCCTGATGACGGCATAGGGCTAATTTCGGCCCCATATCTCCACTATAAATTGAAAATACGTACAACATTATAAGTGGAACTTCGCTGTATATTGCCAAAAGAAGCAAACAAACAAAAAAAAAAGGAAGCCGTAGCAGCAAATTGCCCTAAGGTGGACCGTGTTGAGCTAGCTTCAAGGCCGAAAGAAGTAAAATCATTGAACTTTTTATCCATTTTGACACGCTTAAAAAATGACCCGTCATAATTTAACTTGAATATTTCAAAACAGCTTATTTTGTTTCCGATTTCTCGCGACGAGCGCGAACACTTTGAGCCAAAGTCTCCAATACTGACTCGGTATCCTCCCAGTTGATGCAAGCATCTGTGATACTGACACCGTACTTCAGACCAGCCTTGCCCTCTGCGGGGACCTTCTGGTTGCCTAGCGTAGGTCAGTATAAACAACATCCTATATATAGCAAAATCTTTAAAAGACTCACCCTCATTGATGTTGCTCTCAATCATAACACCCATAATAGCATCCTCACCGGCAGCAATCTGCTCAGCAAGCACAGCAGCGACCTTAGGCTGGTTCTTGTGGTTCTTCTCAGAGTTACCGTGGCTGCAGTCAACCATAAGACGGGGACGCATGCCCTTAGCACTGAGCTTAGACTTAGCATCGGCGATGCTAGCAGCATCGTAGTTGGGGCCCTTCTTTCCTCCACGAAGGATAACGAAGCAATCAGGGTTACCGACGGTTCCGACAATAGAGACAACACCAGGCTTTGTGACGGACAGGAAGTGGTGGGGGTGCTTGACAGAGCCAATAGCATCAACAGCGACATCGAGCGAGCCATCGGTACCGTTCTTGAATCCGACGGGGAAGGACAGACCGGAAGAAAGCTCACGGTGGACCTGGGACTCGGTGGTACGCGCACCAACAGCACCGACGGACAGACAATCAGCCAAGAACTGGGGGAGATTGTGTCGAGCATCTCGCTGGCGATGGGCATGCCCTTGTTGGTCAAGTCGACGAAGAGCTGGCGCGATACGCGGAGACCCTTGTTGATCTGGAAGCTGTTGTCGATATCCGGGTCGTTGATCAGGCCCTTCCAGCCGACTGTTGTGCGGGGCTTCTCGAGGTACGAGCGCATGACAATCAGAAGCTCATCGGCGTACTTCTCCTTCATCTTCAGTAGACGATCACAGTATTCGAGGGCCATTTCTGGGTCGTGGATGGAGCATGGTCCGATGACGACCATCAGACGCTGACGCTTGGTATCTGTGCCATGGACGATCTCGACGGCTTCATTACGTCCATCGAGGACGGTCTGTCGTGACTTTTCGGTCAATGCGATCTCATGCTGGAGGAGATTGGGAGGAGTGAGAGGGTTGTAGCCGAGAACTATAGCTGTTAGAGACCAATTCAGAGTAAAAATAACAGCCGCACTTACTGCGAGAGTCTTCCAAATGGCTGTGGTTGCCCACATTAGGGTTATCAATGAAGAACTGTGGAATTGGCGACGTCAGTGTGAAATTCAAAATCAATGGAGGGGCTTGACTCACCGACATCGGAGGAGGGGTAGGGGGGGTAAAGATGGGAATGGGAGGTTTTAGGGAGCAATTGGGGGAAATCGAGGTAATTGCAGTGAACAGGAGGATAACAATTTATTTAAAAATAAGAAAATAAAAGAAAACAGCTGGTGAATGAGTCAAAGGCTCTTCAGAGTATAAAGGATTTCCACGTGATCCTCGGTGAATCTAACCCGGCGCTGGAGTTCCAATCACGGCGGTCCCATTTATAAAAAAAATTTGTGGATGTGGACTTAAATATATTGATATCATATGATATTGGTATAAGAATCTGATTGCTTGCATGCAATACTGCCCAGCCTTGTGTCACCCTCGAGATAATATATGTAACCTGTGATTTCACCCCTCTACCCACACATCTTTCAGATTGGTCCTTTTTGCACTTGACGATCAAGCTCCTGCAGTCCACGAACCAGGTCTTGGCATATATCTGCATGTTGTTCCCTAAAGGATTGCATTTGCTGCCGGTATAGCTGCATTCGCGCTTCTTGCGCCTGGAATAGGTCGTCAATGATCCGACTACACCCCTCTCGATAGATCTCCAGGACTCGGCTGATGGTGGCCTTTTCCGCCGCCAGCTGAGTGGTCAAGTGCTAAATCCCAGTTAACAAGATTCTATTCGCATAAGGAGTTTCGACTAACCGAATTGGTTTGTTGAAGCAGGTGGTGTGCGTCCTTCTGCGCCCCTTGCAAAGTTGATATCCATTCCATATCGTCATGGCCGCCCACCGTAGATGCTTGGTGCGACATGGCAGTTGGCTGTGTTGATGCTGATATATCCGTTCGGAATGATTGATCAAGGTATCTATGATTCTTTGATGAAGCATCACCTAATGCTCTCTCGTCGAGCGTTCTCTGTGAAGAACGTCGTCCAACTGTCGATGCTTTCTCGGATTTGGCTCCATCAGCAGTATCCTCCTGAGAAAATGATGGCTGATGCTTTTTTGGCGGCGGCCATGGGTGAGATCTCTCCAGTTTCTCCGTTTGGATCCCATATTCCAGGAACATGTCTCTCTGGAACTTGGTCCACATGACCCCTTCATATTTACTCTCTGTGGAAAGACTGCATGAGTCTCGATCGTATTCACTTAGGCTAGTTTCGGTGATACTGGTTGTCTCTTCATGGCCCTTTTCGCCATCTAGGCCAAGCTGAGGCACAACCATGCTATTGGCTGACTGAGGCATGAGTCGAGGACTACCGTTGCTGTCGACAATGCTGGTCTTTAGAACTGATTTTGGGGGCTCGGGAGACAAAGAATGCAGTTCCATTGGGGATTCATTAGTAAGAAGGGGCTTTTGAGACTCCGGGGTATGGCTAGACCCATGTCCCTCGATTTGTCCTGCTGTGAGATCGTCAGATTTTCCTCCATTTAACGGCTCCGACGAGCTATCCGCCTGGCTTTCGCAGAGGTTTGTGGTGTATGAAGAGCTGGTTGGTTCGGATCTCATGGGTTGCAAGGTTGCAAATCCGGGGATATGTTCCATTTCCATGTGGTAATCAAGGATTGAAGGGCCGGCCCCTATCAAGCCTCTGCCGGATTCAAATTCTGAAGAGCTCGCTGTAGTTGACAACCTGTCATCTCCCAGCAGCTTCCAGAAGTCTGCGTCATCTACCTGTTGCATCTGCCCTTCTTTGGGCGGAAGGATTTTTGTAATCAAGGCTGGATTGACAGTCTTAGGCTCGGTTTGGTTTTGGTGCATTCCAACTGGAATTGTTCTGTCCGGTACGCTTTCAATCGCTGGGAGTGGAAACCTTGTTTCGGGCGGCATTTTATCGGACTGCTGCTTTGGGGGGAATTCCTCTGGTTGCACTGGATCAGATGAGATGATGACAGGTGCGGTTGGATCATTGACTGGTTCATCCTGAGAAGGCTCTGCTCCATGGAGCGCAATCATCAGCTTGTTGCCAACACTCTCTGCTCTACCACGGTGTTTACGACGACTCTTTTCATGAACCGCCTCGGTTTGGTTGCTTTGTCCCTTTGGAAGCGCCCTTGACTCCAGGATGGTGACCTTTGATTCGATCGTGCGAGACGGTCCTTTGAGATCGATGTCGGAACTTGAAGATAGCTCAGGCTCCACATGAACTGATTTACCTTTATTTGCTTCTCTGTTGGACTGTTCCCGATGCTCTAGGATGCTAACTTTGGAAGTACGAGGGGGCCCTTTGCCATAATCTTCGAAATCCGAGGATGAATCAGTTGTCACCGATGTGCAGCTTCTTATCTCGACGATCACACTCCCCTTGCTATTATTTCCATGCTTGTTGTGGCCATCTTTCGGCGGCGAAGGTTGGTGTGGGGGTTTGGGCACCTTTCCATTGCGCTTCGTGGCATAATCTCTGCTTTTCCCGCCCAAAGGACCCATGTCAGAAGGCCCGCTATTACCCAGAGGCGCTGCAGTCGGCAAAACACTTGCAGCAAGTGTTATCAATGGCAATTGTGGCCCTTTGGTGCTGCCCTCTTTGGTAGTAGTGCTCTTCCTCGTGTTCGATTTCCTGCGCTTAGCCGAGGTTGTCTGGGACTTTGGTGGCATTTCTCGCTTGCTTCCTTTCTTTCTGTCAACTGTCTTCGGTCGGTTCGGGTCCGTATCGACAACGGAGGTTCCTCCATGGGTCCCTTTATTCTCAACTGTCTCATTAGGTGTAGGACGAAGATCTTCATCCCAGTCCACTTCTTGGGGTTTGGATTTGGGCGGCCTTGGTTTTGTGAGCTTCAATCGAACAAGCTTCGATCCTGAAGGCTGGGGGGAGGGGCTTTTAGCTTTTGGCGACCTAAGCTTGTGAGGCCGTATTCTGAAGTCGCTGGATCTTTCACAGTCGCCTTGCCCCCAGTGCCTGGATTAATTGGTGCAGATGAGCCCCGAGATGGCTTCATGGTTGCTATCATTATACACTCGGAATCAGAACATGGAGATAGGATGTGAAAGAAAGGCAGCCCTACAGACCCAGTTGATGAGGGTGCTGAACTAAGCCCAGCTCCAACCCGTGGACCCGTGGACACACGACGTGGATCACATGATACCTCAGCTATAACTTCAAATGTCCTACTATTTTACATATCCATGGATAATCAAATGGATATAGATAGTACATGTTCAAATGTTGATTTGCAGATATGATCTTATTTTAGTTGATCTCTATCGACCCTCTTACAGTTGCCTGAGTATGATTATATTCATACTACATAGCTATATTCTTGAAGAATGTATATTATTGTTAGTCTATTTGCCCTTTCATAGATCGAAAATTGCCGAGATTGATAAAGCTAGTCGATTCTGGGGAAGCAAAGTGTTCTATTTTTATCTCGACTTGCGTGCTTGTCACTTAATTGAGACCATAATGAAAAACACCTGCTTCCCCATATTCTTCCCCATACTCTTCAGAGATCCAATCCAACTGCCATCCTTACCTTCTTTTTCTACTAACCCTCGGAATGAAGGACCAGAATGACCAGAATGACCAGAATGACCAGAATTCTTCTTCAATCGAAGATCCGATCGGCCCGTGCAAGCTCCGCGATCCGTCCACGATTAATAATCTCCAGCATTCGATCTGGTTCGCCGACAAGGCATCAATTCATCCAGGGATGCGGCTGAGACCTTATAATAAGTAATTAACCTACACCTAATTATCCCGGTAAGTTGCCGGTCTCACGTTCATACGCCCAATATTGCGTTATAGGTCTGCACAATGACACAACAAGCGCCACAAGCCGACGAAGAGCTGCCAGCTTCTCGATGTCGGTTCAATGCGACCCAGACTTTAGACCGGCTTCGAAGTCTCCTCCCTGCTTTCCTTGTTAAGCCTCCGAATGTCGAACTCGACAACGCCCCTATTCCCAAAACAAATGTTAAACGTCGTCGAGCCTCATATGCCGCCGCTTCCCTCGATCAAGACGAGACTCTTCCTGAGCAGATCTCCACGCAGCAGGAACACGGGATTGGTGTGTCGGAAACCTCCACTAAGGATGAAACGGTTCTCTACCTCGCGTACGGGTCAAACCTAGCTTCCAAGACTTTCCGTGGAGTGCGCGGCATCAAACCACTCTCGCAGATCTGTGTGCTTGTCCCCGAACTCCGTCTCACCTTCGATCTTCCGGGAGTACCGTATGCAGAGCCCTGTTTCGCAGGCACACAATACAGAGATATTTCTCCGCCGGAATACGACGAGACCGAACTCCAAGATGACGAGATAGATGTGTCGGACAGTGAGTATCTGTCAGAGAAGGCTGCGCTCATAGGTCGGATACAGCAGGTGGAGGTAGTCTCGGATTGTGACAAGCGTCAATGGCACAAACCTCTAGTCGGAGTCGTCTATGAAGTCACATTAGCCGACTACGCGAAGATTATCGCGACAGAAGGCGGTGGTCGTGGATACCGCGACTGTGTCATCGACTGTCATCCCTTCTCTCAATCCTACAACCCATCCGACCCCGTCCCGGATTACCCAACCACGCCAGCTTTCAAGGCACGCACCCTGCTCTCACCAGCTGCGGACAATGCTCGCGTTAAATCGCTATCCCAGAAAGGCGATGTCGCGCTGCTACCCAGTAGTTCAAAGGTGTCGTGGTGGTATACCGTCTGCTTGCATTTTCGGCCGGATCCTAACTACGCTCAACCCTCTGCCCGCTACCTGGGGTTGATCAAGACTGGTGCTGCGGAGCATGATCTGCCTGTTTCATATCAAGAATATCTTGCGCAGATCAAAACATATCATATTACAACTACGCGCCAGAAGATCGGGAAAGTGGCCTTCCTAGCTGTGTGGGCACCTTGGTTGATTTTGACTTTGGGATTGTCCAGGATATTCGCAGGTCCTGATGGTCGTATTCCACCGTGGCTAGTGGCTCTGGCCAATACCGCGTTTTCGGGGATGTGGAAGAGCTATGACTATTTCTTTGCTCCTGTCTTTGGGGATGGCGAGCGGACTCTAGATGATACCCGGGCCTGAAGTTGCATCTGGGCCTTTTTTGATGGATTTTATAGTGGTGTAGATTCTTGCATATACAATTAGAAAATGATCATTGTATGCCACTCATCTCGTTGCCAAGTCACAGAACATACCATATCATATTCCTATGATATAGACATGCACATCCAGACATAAACTGCAACTCTAGAGACTTGGATTTAATGGTCTCATCTGTCATAATCACAAAGGAAATTAAATTCAGATGACTCCTCGAAGCACACAGTTTTCGAAAGGAAATGAAAAAAAGAATATATCTAGGATACAGATACAGGTGTTCGGGGAGCGTTCTAACAAAACACAGACACAGCGACCAATAGATAGACACAAAAAATGACGAGACAGAGAGGCCTCTTTGAAGCACCCGCATCAAAACCGGGGATGTGGTATAGGTTCCCCAAGTCGTACCGGCCTCTTTCAGCCTCTCACATTTTCCCACTCAAAAAAGGCCTTGCTGCAAATTTAACGGCGGGGGCCGATCGGGGGGCTGTACACGATCTTGCGGGTCTTGAGAGGGGCCCACTTGTAGCGCTTGACCCAGACGGAGATGGCGAAGAGACCGGTCAGGAGGGCAACGGACTTGACACCCATCTTCTTGCGCTCGTCCATCTCGGGCTCGGCGGACCAGTTGAGGAACTCGACGACATCCTTGGCCATCTGGGAGGTGGTGGCGGGGGTACCGTCCTCGTACTCGACAACACCGTCGAACAGGACACGGCCCATGGCAATACCTATCACTGAGTCAGAAACGCTAAAAAGAAACAACTTTATGGAATTATCGTCACGTACCGGTACCGGGGAAGTAAGGGTTGAAGTTCATGCCCTCGGCGACGGCAGCACCAGCGGGAGGCTCATCGGGGTAACCGGTGAGCAGACTGAAGATGTAGTTGCAGCCACCGTGACGGCCCTTGGTGATCAAGCTGAGATCGGGGGAAGAGCACCACCGTTGGCGGCACGGGCAGCCTCCTCGTTGGGGTAGGGGGCGGGAATGTAATCGGAGAGCTTGCCGGGGCGCTTCTCGATGTTGCCCTCGCTGTTGGGCTCGGTGTCGTACTCATGCTCCTCGGCGAAGGCCTTCATCTCGTCGACGGTGTGCATGGTACCGACCATTGAGCGCCATGGGACACGAGTGAGGGAGTGGCAGGAGGCGCAAACCTCACGGTAGACCTGGAAACCACGGCGGAGACTTGGACGGGGTCAGTACAATGCATGCTGGCGAGAGCAAAAATATGACTTTGGGGAGAGAGCACTCACGCGGCGTGATCGAAGGTCTTGTTGAAGCGCTCGTGCACCCAAGGGTACGCAGTAGCGTGGAGTCTAGATAAAATCACATGTTAGCTTCCACCATTGTTCTCAACATGGGTCGCACAATGCTCGGCTGCGGCGAAGCCAACAAGTATGGCGATCCCCCTGGGCAATTTCACTCACCCCTCCTCAGCAGGTGTCATGGCGAAGGCCTCTTGACCATAGAGGTGGTAGTACCATGCGGTGGAACCGGCGGCGGCGGCAGTTGCAAGCGCAGCAGTGAGTGTGAGGTAGAAGGGGGAGTTGGCGGCCTCGGCGCCGGCGGCGGTGGAAGAGGCACGCTGTTGAAGATTAGCAACAGAACCCTTCTATAATCCAATGGACATTCAAAGAATTGATTGTCCTCTTCCGTGAAGGTCAATGGGGTAAGGGCGTACCGTGGACTTCCCGAGGGACTGGCGGGCGATGGCCCGGTTGGACGCGCGCAGAATGGAACGTCCCAGCATGACGAAGTTTAACCCAAGCAATTGAATTTGATTGGGAATGGGTGCTGTATCGCCAAAGCGAGAGAGGGGTGGGTGGGGAGAGGAGGGGGGATGGTACAGGGAGAGAGGTGCTGGAGGTTGAGGTCGAAGTCGAAGAAACTTGACATTGATGATTACCCCCTTGCTCTGATTGGCTCCCGGCCACGCTAGAAAACCGACTCTCGGAACATCACAATTCTGCCGACTTACGATCGATTGATCTATATAAAATTAACTAGTTAATTACAATAAATCATTACATTCCGTCTATAGCTTCTTTGTCTTCTTCTGGTCCTGTGTTGTCGTATATTTTTTTCTTCCGGTTGTGCGTATCCCGGGATTCACCGAAAAAAACACGCATCACCGGAACACCAATGTTCGATTCGAATATAGCTAGAGGATCTTCAGATCAGCTTGCTACCTACTAGCTAGATATGTGTATGTATATTACACTAGTCTCTATTTTTCATCATATATACCATTTTCCTCAATAGTCCGGGCATCTCAGGATTTTCTTTGTAGATCCATACATAGCTAAGTACCTATTTACTATAGCTATATGTACATACATATGTAGCCACATTAGTTTCTATTGCAGTTATTATAACATCAAGAAGAATTCCACTTACCTGTTTGAATATACACCCCCAATTGGTTTGGATAAAAGTTATGATTGGGAAATTATGTGCTATATTCAGCTTCAACCCGAGAGATATATTTAGCCATAAAGTTGCTCGAAACATCCCTAATTTTTCGTACTTCACTCTCCTTATGGTTCCCCAATCACCGTATTTCAGCTTTTTACGGCACTAGAAAGCAAATATCATCCAACCCTCTTATTTTCTTCCAATTGGACAGAGCCCGATTTGTCTATATCATACAGATGTACGGAGTACCCAATGTATACGATGGAGCGGTGTACATTTTGCCAGCCCGGGGAGGCGGCGGCGTTGGACCCTGTCCGTGCGTGATCGTGCAGCATTGGAATGTGGTTCCTGGTTTGCAGTTGAGAAATAAGTGGTTAGGTGCGAAGATGTCTGCATGAGAATTTGACACCAAATATACCCTGAAGACGCTGTGTCTGCTTGATATCGAGACCGGTCCAGCCCCACAACCCCGCGGAACAGCTTGGAGCGAGTCCGAGGCCGCCCCAACTCCAGAGCTCCCCACGAGTGCTTTGTCTTCCGATGAAGAGTCCAGGAACACAATATGCCAGGTGCAAAAAAAGGGCCCACGGCCGCAGCTCGGCCACGCAGAGATGTGTTGGCATCGCTGCGCATGGCATCAATGGAAGACATCTCCAGAGCTGCTCTTCCAGCAGGTGTGTGAGATAAAGATATGCGGTAGCGGGGGAAACATGCTGACAGGAAGACAAACAGAGATCGTATCCTCTATTCTCGACTATGTCGGCCCCGTTGATTTGATCCGAGCAGCACGGTCTTGCAAGCTCATGCACGAGATGGCGTATGATGACACTCGATGGGTACACAGGTTGAAACGAATTGGGTGCTGGGATGAAGCAGATGCTAGAAAGCATGCTGAGGTGATATTTGGAACAGTTGCCAACATGGAGGTCGTCGAGCAGCAAGAGAAGACTGAGCTGGGCGATGGGCCAGTCCCTGCGATCACTGTTAGCGATGACCCTTCCAATGACCTGAAAGCAATATCCGATGGATTCGATAAGATTGAATTAGTGAATACCGCGTCGCAGCCCGATATGTTACAGGATCTCCTGGATGAACCCGCCCTGACAGTGTTGAAAAATGTTAGGTCAATCCGGGGCGAGGCGCGTCAGGAATATGGCAAGATACATGCTGTGCTGGCACCGTTGTATGAGGACATCGCGCGAACTGGACCATCGTCTGAAAACTTGGTTTTCACGAAATACAAGGATCCCCAGGCCCAGGCGCAGATACTGGCACAATTGCTCATGTTCTCTAAATCTGATATGACCCAAGGATGGGACGAGCGGGTTGACCGTTTAGAGCGTACAATCTCGATGTTTGAGACTGCTGCGCTTAAGGAGTTCCGCCAGGGGTATGAAACAGACGATATCGACGGGACCATGCGGAAATACGCACACATTTTATGGACACTCAATGGTGGGCAAGCTGCCGTGGACCTCTTCATCCATCACAACCACCTGATGACTCGCAAATCCGACCTGGGAAGCGTCGCTTCCTGCATTGACGGCTCAACCGGCCAGGTCAAAATGGAGCAGACGCAGGCTTTCTTCACACGACTCAGTGTCGCCTTCAACGATGAAATATCCATTATGAACCGTGTCTTTCCCTCAGCTTTAGACGTCACGTCAGCCTTCATGACAAAAGTCGGCCAAGATGTGTTGTATCCTTTCCTCACGGCAATCTTTGATGAGCTGCACCGTGTCAGCATCAAGTCATATCTCACTGCAATCTCAGCGACTTTTGTCCAATGTATGAACCTCTCGGAGTCTCTGCTTCCTATACGAGGCTCTGATGCTAAATTCGACGAGTATCTTGATAATGTCGTGATCAAGATTTATGAGCCACACCTCGACCTGTATCTGGCAGAGGAGCTTGATTTTTTCAAGAAGGCCTGTGAATTTACAGTGAATGAGTGGGACCGTCATCTCTCTGAACAGGCAGCTTCGACAGAGTCTTTCCTGATGTCAAATATTAATCGCCAAGCCGATAAACGAGACTTCCTTACTTCTTTCAAGAAAGTGATCATGATGCCGGTAAACATCCTACCGAGCTTTTCAAGTGCCAAACAAAACGAAGAATCGAAACAAGACACGGAACCAAGCAGTCCAAATCCGGCGCAGCCATCCAAAAATACCAATCGATTTTCGACAATATCGTCGCCTGCCCCAGTGACTGTCGAGGAAGTTCCCACCACAGAGCTGGCAGCAAAGGCGGCCATCATGAAGACGAAGATGGAGGGTATCCGCTCATTGTTTAGCATCGAAATTGCACTTGATCTAGTCCATTCCGCCAAATCCAGCCTGGAGCGAGGCGCTCAATTTGTGCGACTTGGCGGCGAGTTTGGTCTTGCAGCGAAGCAACAATGCGAAGCAATCTTTGTGACTCTGCTACGTATATTGGGACACCAGCACGTTATCGTTGGATTTGATAAGGCCGTCAGTCATCTATCCAACTACCGACCCCGCGAACAAGGGGAGCGTGACCAATCTGGGGTTGAGCCCCTGGTCACTTTTCTGGAACTGGTCAATGTCGGCGATTTGATCCTGCAAATGATGGATGTATTCTACGAGCAGGAATTGATCGCCATGAGGTTGACTGATAGAAACGATTTTATGGACCCTGCCAATAAAGAAAAGAAAAAGTTCGAACAGATGCTGGATGAACGTGTCGCAGCTGGCCTGAATAAGGGAATCGACGTTCTCATGGAAGAGGTGGACTACATTCTGGCAACGCGACAACTAGCCACCGATTTCAACCCCGGTGTTTCCTCAGATCCTCACCGACAGACCATGGACGTAGGGGTTAGTGAAGTTGCCATCGCCGTCGTCGACGTGGTTTCATCGCATACGCAGATGCTAGTCGGGAGCACGGACAAGAGCACACTAGACGTGTTCAACCAAGAAGTCGGGCTCCGCCTGTTTTCTGCTCTATGCAAACACCTCAAGCGACAGCGTGTCAGTGTGGAGGGATCACTCAAGTTGATCAGGTATGTATTTGGATCTTCCACTACGCAAATCTCCAAGCTGACTTGACACCCTAGCGACATGAACCACTATTTCAAGTATATTCAAACATTGCGAAACAATGAGCTACTTCTCTATTTCACGGCATTCCGTGAGCTTGTGCAGATTTACCTGATCGACCCCGGTGACGCCAAGGAACTGGCGAATGTCATCGCCGATGCGGATCGGTTCCATGGGATTTGGCGTGTGGAAGAGGTCTATGAATTTGCTGAGCGCCGAGCTGACTGGTACCACGTCAAGCGGGACGTGGAACGTGCTATGTATGGAATTGGTTGCAATGTGATGTAAATGGAGACTACCGATACCCCCGGGAATTGCATAGCGAGTGGCTTATACCTACAATGCGGACATGCATGTCAGCACAGACTATTCTCCTAGGGAGAGTAGACTCGTACGAGTATATAGACAGCGATTGATGTACAAATATATGTTAGATATTTGCTTCTAAATCCATCTAATTAATTTGATCCTGAAGAGGTAGAGTAATTGAACATTAATGTCTCGCAGCAACTCAGAATTGGAGACAAAAGAAACCGAAACGAGGTGAAACCAGATAGTCTAGAAGCACAGATAAATTGATCAAGATGAATCAAAGATAAAACATCAAATATGAAAGATGATAGATCAAAGACAAAAGAGTATTCGATGCAACCCCCCCCAAGCCCTAAAAGTCTGACGTCAACACCGGCGGCTGCTGGAACACCACTTGCAGCGTCTGAAACGAAGTGAAGAGAAAGATGACTCTCTGATCCAACAGTCCCCCTGTCTGGTTGCATTCTAAAACATATTAATAGAGTTTCAAAATGACCTGGACTATTTGCCTTTATTTCTGGTTCCCCAGGGATCTTCTTCATCTTTCAGGTGTTGAGTACGTCTTTCGAGATCCGTGAAGAAGGTTATCTAATTGATTTTCTAGATACCTGCATTGTGCCTGATTCTATGAGAACATAATATACACAATAAATGACCATGGTTGCCTAAGACAATAGACAATTCACGATCATTGCATCACCACATTGCTATCCAAGTCGTCACAGCTTAGGACCGCGTCCTAAACCGGATCGGAGCCTGGCGCTACTACTATTGATCCAACGATAATCAGAAGAAGGCCACCTGAGATCATGCAATGACAAACTACATCTACGACCACCACTTGTCTACAGCTTCAAGTCAAAAAGAAGAACTTCAATCATTCAAAATGGACCGAAACAACCGCACCAAATCCACACGATGGCTGGCCATCGTTACACTCTTCACCATGCAAATACTCAGCGCAAAAGCCGACGTAGTAACTGTCTGGACTACGGTGAAAGTGCCCGCGCCAACACCAACAGCACCTTTATCACCATCCTACACCTCCCTCGACGAGTTCAAGGACGATATGTTGAAAGTCACAAACGAATACCGCGCCAATCACGATGCCAATCCACTACAATGGAACAACACTCTAGCTGATTACTCGCGGGAGTGGGCAGAAGCCTGTATCTGGAAACACTCGGTCTGTATCAATATCTCCCAAGACCACGAGATAATATGCTAACATTACTACAGAAAAGTAGCTACGGCGAGAACCTCGCATACGGATACCAGAATGTCTCTGCTGCTGTCATCGCCTGGGGCGATGAGGGCGATATGTATAACTTCGGCAAGCCGACAGGCTTCACCGAGGAAACGGGACATTTCACTCAGTTGGTCTGGAAGGCGACCACACAGGTTGGGTGTGCTGCTGTCAACTGCGGGTATACGAAGAATTCCAAAAGAGATAACGGGATCGAAGTGGGAGAGGATGCCTTCGAAGAAGATACACTGGAAGAGGATGTTTTCGAGGGGGTGTTGATGGCGCCCCGTTTCAGCATGGATGAATCCGGACAAGATGGGCTGGAAGGGTTGAAGGTTGCGCGAGGCGAGCCACGGGCTCAAGGGTGGTATGTTGTTTGCGAGTATACACCTCCTGGAAATGTTGTGGGCCAGCATGATTCCTACTTCAGGAAGAACGTATTGCCAAAGAAGGCGCCTGCCGTTGACGACTCCTCGTCTACAACCAAGTCTTCTGAGTCTTCTTCCACGTCTACGGCAGAACCGTCGCCGAATGCTGCAACATCTACTACCACCGGGAGTCAGAGTCAGCCCACAGGAGGTGCTATGAGGTTTGCCCTGGACTCGACATTGGGGATGATGCTGGTAGCATTGGGAGCGGTGGGCATTGGGATGGGGCTGTACACTTGAGATAGCTTACTTTTAAACGATTTAAATAAACGAATACAAGGTTGAACTTTGCTAGGAACTGGTTTCGTAGCCATCTCTCATGCTTATCCACATTGCACATTTGGTCGGGAGGCGCACCGCTCGATCTATTGATTTTTGGAATGTCCCGATCCTCACTGGGCTTGCCCAGGGGACCTAAAAGAAACACAAGGGGACAGAAGGCTGGGTTCAGGCACAAGCGCGAAACGCCAGCAGAGAAACAGGGGGAAAAGAGGAACAAAAGGAAACACATTATTTGCGAAAATAGAACAGACAGATTCATCAGCCAATGACCTCCTCGGTCTCCTCGATAATCTCCTCCACAATCTCCTCGACCACGGAGTCGCCCTGGTCTTCGACAACCGGGCGCGCGTCGCGGGCGGCCGCGGGTGTATCTGCGTCCTCTGGGAGGCTGAAAGCCTCCTTCTCTTCGGCGAGGAGCTCCTTCTCCCGACGGAGCCAGGCGAGCCACTCGCTGAGTACACGCTTGCGGGTCTCGACAACGGCGGTGTTGGCGATGTCGACAGCGTACTTGTCTTCCTCGTCGAACTCCTTTGAGTACTCGCGGAGGTTCTTGCGCACTTGCTTCTGCTCCTCCTTGCTGAGGAGAGTGGCGGGGCGTGGGCGCCAAAGGAACTGCTTGAACTTTTCGGTAGGGTTCTCGGAGAGGGTAGTACCGGAGAAGGTGTGCATGTTCCAGCCGTTCTCCATCTATAATGCGGTCAGTATTATGAATCGTAGTTAAAAATAAGTATTAGGTTTAGTCTTACCGAGTGAGTCCAGACACTGGCGCTGCTGACAACGTAACGGCCGGTGGAGTCCCAGTCAACATCAGTGACACCGTAGTGCTCAACGGTCTTCATCAGCTGGAGGTTGGCTGCGAGATCCTTCTCAGCCTCGTTCTTCTCGCCCTCGAAGTCCATATCCCAGAAGTCCATATCGAAGTTGGTCTGGGAGTGAACAGTAGCGACAATAACGAATCGGCCCTTGGGCGACCAGTAGATGCCGTTGCTGGTCTTCTTCTCAATAGTGCGAACCAGCTTGAAGTTGCCGGCGGTGTGGCCCTTCTTCTCAGGAGCGAAGAAAGAGACGGAAGTCTTGGGGAGGACGGCAGCACCAGTGGGTGCCTCGCCGTTGGCGATGACGACGAATCGGGATCCATTGGGCTCCCAGGCAAAGTTAATCACGGTATCCTTAAGACTGTCAACAACCTCAACGGGAACACCCTTCTCGCGAACGCGGAAGATCTCCAAGTTAGTGGCCATAGACTTCTTTGACTTGGAGTGACGGTCGACCTTGACACAGACGTAGGCACCCTGTGATTGCCAGTGCAACTTGACATCGGAAACGTTGAACAGGTTACGGGTTCGGACAACCTCCTTTGAGGGCACGCTCATCATACCAACACGGGCAGGGTTGCTGCCAATTTCAGGAGTCCAGAAGCAGAGCAATTGCTCGTACTGCTTGACACCCTCACGGGCAACAGTGGCAGGGGACCACTCGAAGTCCATAGCACCCTCAATCTTCACGGAAGTGCGACCAAGAAGGTTCATGTTGGGGAGTTCGTAGATAGAGAGAGATTGGCCCTGGAGCATGCGAGCAACGTACTTCTCATCCGCGGACCACTTGAAGGCAGGCCACTGCACCTTCTTCTTAGGTGCAACATCGCCCTCGATCTCGGTAGGGGCAGCCAAATCGTGCGACACAAAGGAACGGAGGGGCTTGCCGGTCTCGATATCCCAGACAATGATGTTCTTGCCATCCTCCTCGTATGTCAATATGGGTTGGCCTTCCTCGACCTGGATGGGGCGTGCTGACCATGTTGTCAAGTAGCCCTCAAGAGGGGAGAACTCGATCAACTGCACGAAGGGGTGGGGGAACTGCTTTTGCTTGGAGAAGGACGCGCCGCCCCAGAGTTGGACACCCTGTGGGTGGACGGAGGCAAGGAATGTACCCTTGGGGGACCATTGGACGAAAAGTTGTGTCCAGTGAGCGCGATCCACGACATTCTCCGGAGGGTTCGTCTTGTTGTTCCAGAACACGCCAACCTTGTCGTTACGGTAAAGAGCGAATTGATCACGGGCGTTGGCATCTCCCATCCACGAGCGCAGGTGCTCCTTCTCCTTGAACGGTTCCGGAACGGGTGCCTTGTATTCTTCATCGACGCGACCTTCACGACCATAACGCTCGATATCCATCAACTTGTTGACGGCCATAATGTGCTTCTTATCGAGAGGGACGCCATGCAACTGCTTGACGGCGGCAACGGCCATTTCGGGGGTTTCATATTCCACAAATGCGAACCTATATCGCCCCAATGAAAGTTAGAGATCGTCCATGATTCCTCCATACCTCATGGGATATGCAATACGCACCCTTCGGTCATCTTCTTGTCGTTAACGGGCATGAAAACCGCATCTTCGGAGGTGCTGCCGACGGAGTTGAGTTTTCTCAATAAGAACTTGACGAGTTTTTGTCGGCTATCTTCGGGCACAACGGGGAGGCCATCGATGACGATAAATGTATCCAGTCCCTCCTCGACCTTCACTTCATATTGCTCCTTAAGATCTGTGAACTAATGTGTTAGAGAGGGGCACACAGACCACGAGAAATCTTGCACTCACCGGAGAAATCAATCTCCTCCTCCTCTTCCTCGTGGAGGTCCTGTTCGGACAGGGTATCGAAACTGGGCGCCATGATGGGTATACCGAAGGCGTCTAGAGGCTTCGGAGCAAAGATAGATCGGTGCAATCCGCTGATGGATTTTCGGGCAGAAACAAATCGCGGCGGCCAAGCGGGTTCTTTGTGTGGACTGACTCAGCACTGAGTCAGCAACATTATCGATTTAATGCCTTAGGTGCAAAATACCACGTGACTGACCTAAATCTGCTTAGTCACAATTTCCCCAGCTTGAGGTCGGCCCCGTCAATCATCATAGACGTTTGTTTCTAGAGGCTCTCAATTGGATACACACTTCTTTTAGACTGCATATCTTACACCAGGCTCTTTGCCCGACCAGGTCTTTGTTTATTATTCCATTCATAACCTACCTGTCTGCGCACCTGTTTTGCCTGGCCCTTCTCTGTCTCCAATGCCCCGCCGGTCCTAAGCGCCAGTGCGACTTGAGTATAGCCCACCTGACAACTCCGAGCTCTCCCTCGGCCATATACTCCTCTACAAACCCCGCGATATCCTCAATTGCCAACTGCAAATCTCAACCCAGCTCGTACGTCTGAACATAGGCAGCCGATCTACGTGATCTACTAGCAACAAGATGTCGCGTAAGCTACCTCGCTCTTGCCCTGGCGCCAATTTGCCGGTTCTCCCAAAAGCCTCCCAACTGATCGGTGATCTTGCGCAATAGTGACCTCTGACTTGCGCGACAAATATATCGTTATAATTGACGATATTTTGGCCAAAAGCGACCTCACCACAATCTCCGAGAAGCGAATTCGCAAAGGTCTTCAGGATGCCGTCGGCTATGATCTCACTCCGATGAAGGTTAGTCAAGCTACGAAGATTTATGGCGCATTATTATTTCAAAGTTATTCAGGATGACTGGCGAAGAACTGTGGCTGACATTCACAAAGTCTACGATCAAGCAGCTGATCATGGAACGATTCGATCGTTATGCGGAACAAAATGGTGTGGGCGGGTCGCCTGATGAAACTGCCCCAAGCAATGATCAACGCGATGGTGATTCAGCTTCAGCTGCGGTGCCTTCCCCACCTCCATCCTCATCTCCTGTGAAGCGCCAGGCCTCCAGCGACGCTACTTCCGAGCCTGCGAGCGCATCACCGCCTGCCAAGAAACACAAGGCCGATACTGATACCGATGCGGATGCGGCGTTCGCGGCGAAGCTGCAAGCTGAAGAGAATTCGCGCGCGCGACCCACCCGTGGGGGCAACACTCGGCGCGCAGCGCCCGTGAAGAAGAAGAGCAAAGCTAAGACTTCGAAGAGGGTTAAGGCAGAAGATGATTCAGATATTGGCTCAGGCGAAGAGCCAAAGAAGGAGGTCAACCGTAATACTGGATTCCATGTATGTCTATCTATATTATCTTTCCCAAGCTTTCTATCAGTTCTAACGACTGCAGAAACCTATGAACCTTTCCGAACCTCTGTCCGCACTTCTGGGAGAACCCACAGTGAGCACCTCTCTTGATCCTTGGTCACCAGGACCTCTTTTGCTAATTTCGCATAGCTTTCGCGACCCCAAACTGTCAAAAAAGTTTGGCAATATATTCGCGAGAACGAGCTTCAGGACCCCAGTGATCGCCGCCAAATCCGATGCGATGATGCTATGCGTGCTGTCTTCAAGCAGGATCGAGTCCACATGTTCACTATGACAAAAATTCTCAATCAGAATTTGTACAACCCCGATGAATAGTTCGGGGGTGACAGATTGGTTTTGATCACCATGGACGAGCAGGCTCCAAACCAAGTCCTGTTGCTTAACGATTCTCCTTCATCTTACTTCTTTTCTTGCGATGCATGGGGATGCTGGCGTGAACTTTGAGCAATTTCCATTCGCCATTTTTATTTGTTTTTGATTTGACTTGCTTGTGCTCTCCAGCGGGCGTTAGTGTAGCCCTCCATAGGTGATTTTATGCTCTCAAAGGCCCTCAATCCACTACCTACATGATATACATATGCGCATATCCATTCACAAGTAGACTATAGATTGTAACAGCTTACAATGTGTGCTCCTAGGTCAATTATATCGTTGGACATCATGGATTTCGATATTTGCTCTTTGTATAGCTTCTGATGCTCTTTTGTTTGTTAAACCTCATGCAGTTTATAAATACATTGGAGCCAGCGGGTTTTATATTGGAATGGATCAAACAGTCTTTTATTTGGCTCTCAGTTCATGATATTTTGACCTGATAAAGCAGCCGGCGCCAACAAGGCGATGAATCTGCCTCATATGTATGGCCACCGCCATGGTGCTTGTATAAGGGAATGGGCAAACACCGCTATACTCTTCAAATAGATGCTCTATGTGCCACCCAGTCACTTAGCTAAATTTTTGCTTAATCAAAGACATAAAGAGAGTGATCGGCTGAAGACCTCATATCCTCATCCAATGCGGAATGCGGGATCAGTCAGCGGCATCTCACTTTTTCTCCAAAACCTCTCCCCCACCACAATCCACAAACTCCCGGGCTCCGTGGCTTTAGCACACCTGATATTGACGCAAAGCTGCAGCTTGTATTGTAATTTTCCTTCCCGTCTCCGCAATGGCCGACAACCAGACCTCAACCCAAGAGTCATCCAGCCAGGGTCGCGGCGGGCGTCGCCGCGGCCGCGGAGGGGCAGCCCCCCGGGCCGTGGAGATTCGCAACAAAATACCGGCGATGGAGAAAGACGACCGAAGCCTCGCACCCGCGGCAGTGGTCGTGGCGCTGGAAATGCCGGCCGACAAACTCGCAGTACCGATCAGACCAACAGCCACGATACTCAGCCTTCGAAAGCCACGACCACAGTAACGAAGAAACCGGTAGAAGCGGCCACAGACGATGCGGATGATGGCGAAGTTTGCTTTATTTGCGCTTCTGCCGTCGAACATACTTCGGTCTCTCCCTGTAACCATAGGACGTGTCACATTTGTGCGCTTCGGTTGCGGGCACTGTACAAGAACAAGGCTTGTGCTCATTGCAGGGTATGATCATCTTGCGATTATTTCTCGGCGAGCTGTGTTGCTTTTCGCTGGGATTCTGTTTCACATGCTGACTTGTATACCAGACGGAATCGAACTTCGTGATCTTCACAGATGATCCAGTGCGACGATATGAGGAGTTCGACAAGAAGGACTTTGCTCGGACTGACCACAATCTTGGTATCGAATATGGAAGTGACGAGATCTTCGGAGACACCGTGCTACTGCTGCGATACAATTGTCCGGACGAGGACTGCGATGTGGCCTGTTTGGGGTGGCCAGACTTGCACCGCCATGTAAAGAGCAAGCACAGCAAAGTTATGTGGTATGTCGGTCTCATAATCTGCGCGATTCTAGAATTAGCAGCTGACTGTGTCTTCCGAATAGTGACCTTTGTACCCGTAACAAGAAGGTCTTTACCCATGAACATGAACTATTCACCCCGGCGGAACTGCGTAAGCACGAAAGGTCTGGCGATGACAAGCCTGGAGCTATAGACCAAAGTGGCTTCAGGGGACACCCCGAGTGTGGATTTTGTCGTCAACGGTTCTACGGCGACGACGAGCTGTACGCTCATTGCCGTGATAAACACGAACGTTGCCACATCTGTGACCGACGCTCCTCCCATCGTCAACAACAATACTATATTGACTATAACGCATTGGAGAATCACTTCCACAAAGATCATTTCGCTTGCCTGGATAAAGAGTGTTTGGAAAAAAGTTTGTCGTTTTCGAGTCGCAAATGGACCTGAAGGGTCACCAAATAGAGGCACACCCCGAAGGGCTTTCGAAGGACGTTCGGCGAGACGCGAGAATGGTTGATCTGGCTGAATTTGATAACATGCGGACTCCTTACCAACAGCAACGCCAACGTCGTGGTGCTGGTCGAGGCCGTGACCCCAACGCTGAGCCACTGCCTGTCTCCAGTGCGCAGCCAATGACCCGTGCGGAAGTTGCATATCAGCGACAAATGGCTATACAGAGTTCTCAGTCTGTCTCAACACGCAACTTTGGAGGCCAACTGACTCGAGAAGATGTTCAACCCGTGCGTGCTCCGGAGCGATCCGCCGCTGCTACTCCAGTGCAGTCTGCTCCTGCGTCACGCTCTCAAGCCCTCCCTACTGCAGCATTCGAAGGCTTGAACGTTTCTGCCAACTCCGCACCAGCGACCGCACAAGAACAGACCCGCCGAATGCGCCATGCGGCTGTAATCGAACGTGCTTCGAACCTCCTCCGCAATGATGCCACCAAACTCGCCGAATTCCGCAGTAGAGTATCAAGCTACCGCGCCTCTTCCATCTCAGCAACCGAGCTTATCGATGCCTTCTTTTCATTATTCGACACATCCAGCACCGAGTTGGGCAAGCTCATCAAGGAGCTCGCCGAGATCTACGAGGATGAATCCAAGCGCTCCGATCTCCTGCGAGCCTGGAATGACTGGCGTGCCATCAACGAGGATTACCCTGCCCTTCCTGCTGGTGGTCTCTTACCTGGCATGTCAACAGGCGCCGTCAACACTGGCGGCAACCGTGTCTTGCGTTTGAAGTCATCGACTGCTAAATCCTCCCGCTCCGCCGTGGGCAGAAGCGGCGCTCTTCCAAACGCCCCCTCCAACCCCTTCCCACCCCTCTCTGCCGCAGCTGGCCCCTCCTCTCGCCGTGGAAAGGCCACCGCTGCTACCCCTTGGGCAACAGCAGCCCCGCCATCTTTCCCCCGCCCTGCAATGCCTAGCCCGATCAGTCGCCCATCATCTGCAACACCATCCTCCAGTCGCGTTCCCGCTGCGCCCGCCCCCCGCGGCGCTGATTCTTTCCCCGCTCTCCCTGCAGCGCCCAAGCCCAATGTTCTCATGGCTGGCAAGACCCGCGGTACCGTTCGCTGGAACGAAAACCGCGGCCCTGCCCCGAACGCATGGGGCTCAGCCCCGAGTTCCGGAACCGCCTCTCCGGCCGAACCCAGCAATGACGACTCAAATAATGGCAAAAAGGAAAGAAGAACAAGGGAAAGCAAACCCTGTTCCACTTCGGTTGATTCACTATCATGTTTCGATTGATTTATGTTTCTTATTTTGATTGGGCCGTGCTTTGGCCTATGTTTGATTGACTACCGCATGATGGGGAGCGCCATTAAAACGTATATGCTGTGTTCGGGTAAATTCCTTGTTGTTTTTTTGTTGTACCTACTAGCGAATGCAGATACAATGTATTGTATAGAGGTAATCCATGTTCTTTTTACTTCATGTCAGATATCATATATCAGGGAATAATGTGACCTTCACAACCCGTCGAATCATCAAACTCTCACCTTAAAAGTACATAAATATGATCTACAGGAAGGGCAGAATAAAAAGGTCATTTCACTTACCATCCTCATTAACTCCAGGTCCTTCAGACCAGCACCACACTATCATTGTCAGTGACATCCTCGGGCTCGCAATCCGAATCAGAATCGATCACAATGGGCTCGGACACAAGTGTGTTGTCCATTCTCCCGTTGTTCTCACTCGAACCCAACGCATGGGTTTCACGTGTATGAACCGACACGTTGGAAACAGGTTCAATGGGAGCTTCTGTCTCACTTTCATCGCCGGGGTATACCTCCATTTCTCTGTTGATGGCAGTCATGCGCAGCACAAAGTCATCTTGCAGTTTAATCAAGAAAGCCCGAAGACTAGCCTTATCCATCGTGCCATCACGGGCGAGCAATAACTGTTCACGCAGAGACAAAAGCAACTTCCGCTTCTGGGCAATAGCAACAGCACGCGACGGGCTGTTTCTACGCTTAGCCAGCTGGTCCATCGCCTCTGAGACAGAGCGCGCCTTATTCAAGACGGCAGGTGGGAGGTCAGCGAGCTTGGCGAGGACAAGCCCATACCGACGATCTGGAACGGGACCCTCCGCAATGCGGTACTGCATAGTCATCTTGGATGCATCCGGGGCGATCTCGGCTGCTAAGTGGAGATTGATCACACCGCTGCGCTCTGCGAGAATCTGCGCCAGGTCGTGGAAGTGCGTGACAAACCAGACCAGGGCATTACTAGAAATGAGTGCTTCTGCCAGCGCGACGGCGATGGCAAGACCATCGGTTGTGCTAGTGCCGCGGCCCAGCTCGTCGATGATGACCATACTGCGTGGCTGGATGTTACGAAGAATGAATGCCATCTCCCGCATCTCTGCTGCGAAGGTTGAGACGTTGGCGTCTAGATCATCTGACGTGGCGATGCGGGCGAAGAGCTGGTGGGAGATTGGGAAGGAGGCGTATTGAGCTGGGATGAAGCAGCCTACCTGCGCCATGACTGTAACCAGGGCCAGTGACCGGATGTAGGTTGACTTGCCGCTCATGTTGCAACCTGTGATGATCTGGAATCTTGTTTGTGGTGTTGCATATGCGTCGTTCGGGATAAACTTGCTATTATGAATCTGTTCTCGAATTGGATGACGTCCCGCCTTGATGGCGAGAGTGTCGGTCAGCTCTGGTCTGATGTAATCATAGTTCGTTGCTAGCTGAGCGAATGCTGCGAGCATGTCTAGCATTGCAATTGCTTCACTGACTCGAAAAAGCCCGGATACTTCAGTGCACACGTCTCGGAGCAGGTCCTGGATTGTCTGGTCGCTCATATTGATCACCTCGCTATGGGCATCAGTGATCTTTTGATTGAGTTTGACCAAATCCAATGTCTGGCACTCGATGCACTTTCGCTTGCGATATACGTTGATAAAAACATCCGGAAGTGGACCTGGTTCTGTAGCAGGGATACAGATGTAGTATTGCCGGGCTGTGTCATATTTCAAGTCCAAGACCATATCACAATTCTCTGAGATAGGTCAGAATTATTCATGTAAGCTCACAACTTCAAACATGCCTGATAATTTTTCAATCAGTTCTATGGCGTCTGAATTTGCCTCCTTGTAGGTCTGCCTCGCAACATCAAGGAGACTGTTGACGCCGGCCTACTCTATGTTAGCGATATATATCCAGTGTGGAAGTATATGAGCTGTGACCTTGACACAGTAAATGCGCTGATTCCTTAGATCAAGTGGCTTTGACTGGTAGGCTACATTCTCATTCAAAGTTGTGTTAATCAGGTCCTCAATCGAACGATACCCTTCGGGAGCACACAACTAAAATGCATTAGTTTGATTGAGTAAAACACTAAAGGGATGTAGGGTCTACTTCGCGTATGGTAAGCAGCAAATCGCTTTGTGCTGCTCCAAGCGCTTGGAAAATGTTTTTGATCGAAGATACATAAGTCTTGAGCATGATGACATTGTTGACGGACTGCTCGACGTATTGGATTGTCCGCTTGGTGGGAACCAAGATGATCTTGAATCTGTTAGCACAAGTCTTCAATACTCGCGAACCTCGAGACTCTACCGCAGTCAACACTTTATCTGCGTCAATGAAGCCCTTGAGAGCCTGCCTGACAGACACAAACATATCCTCTTTGGTGGCCAAATCTTCCACGGCATTGTATCTGGCTGTCAACTTGACTCGTTCCGTTGAAGGCTGTAAAATGCTAGCTCGGAGAAGTCTGGCCCCCATAGTCGTCAATGTCTCGTTCAATAGCCCAAACAAACTTTCTTTAGACTTCGCATTCTGCAGGTTCTGGATAAGTTCGAGAGACACAATAGTCGCCAAGTCAATTGTCATGGACCCCTGGGACGGTTCGAAGCGTATCCGAAGAGAATGCGCGGTAAAAGATCGCTGGAGTTCGACTTCAACATACTTGAGGACCTAACTCTTATGTGAGTAGTTTCTTTTGGCCTTACGAATGGTGTTCATACTGCGGCAAAGCAACATGCTGCGAAATAGTTCCCGCCTAGAGTCACCTTGAGCGAGTCGACTTCCTCTGGAAAGGCCATCCGTTCCACATACTCATGACCTGTCTTTTCAGACCACCACCTGCGGTCTAGGAACGTGAATATAGGATCAGGCAGATTCTCTTGGATGATATAACGGAGCTTCGACTCTTTGGCAGTGTTCATGAACAGAATCTCGCTGGGTTCAAAAACACCAATCTTGATGATTGTCTTGACGTAAGTCTGGCTGTCACATATCTGACAGAGCACTGCCTCAGCTGTCGCAAGATTGACAAATGCGAGGCCAATGGTGGATGAGACGCCCCGCGATTCACTGACGGCGCAGATGATGTCCTGTGCTGCGACACTGGTGGCCATTGTGGTCGGTCTTGCCGTTGGACGTCTACTTGTACCTCTAGATACCGAGGGTGAAAAAGAATCCGCAGAATTCAATGAATCCAATGAATAAATCGACATTGTGAAGCCCAACTCTCATGGCCGAGATGGTGTAGATGGGGAAATTGATAGGGCCGATAAGATAAGCGTCGGGATATTTTTGCTTGTCAAAATTTCTCTTCTTCCCCCATCGACCCCAAAATCAATAACCATGGCGACCCTCTATCCTCCCCCCAGCAAGCGCCAAAAGCTCGTTCAGGCTGATAAGGCCCGTGAGCAGCAGGAAATTGAGAGTATTCCGTCCGACTTGGGTAGTGTTCGAGTTCAATTCTTCGACCAAGCAACAGGGCAGCCCACCGGGCCTGCGGTCTCCGTCCCAGTCGCCGATGCCAATGTGAAGAACCTTGAGACTTTGCTAAACACATTACAAGGAAATGTAAGATTCAAACCTTGTGACTATTTGACAATTGAATGTTGTATTAACGGCGATTTCTTTCCAGGAGGATGATGGACGAGTACCATACCGATTCGCCTACCATTCCGAAAAAGAGGAACAAACGATCGACATTCTTCGCGATGTGTACCACTCACTACTCCAGCCTGGGATCAAGACCACTGAAGATACGATATCGCTCTTCTACACACCGCAGGCGGTTTTCCGAGTGAAAGCCGTTTCACGATGCGCGGCCTCCATCGCGGGCCACGGCGAAGCAATTCTAGCAACATCCTTCTCCCCAGTCTCATCCTCCACTATGGTCTCCGGAAGCGGAGACTCAACTGCTCGTGTTTGGGACTGTGACACTGGTACCCCCAAACATACGCTCAAGGGTCACACCAGCTGGGTGCTGGCAGTCGCATACTCGCCGAACGGCGCCATGATCGCAACTGGCAGCATGGACAACACCGTGAGGTTCTGGGATGCCAAGCAGGGAACGGCTCTAGGTGCTGGACTCAAGGGTCACGCAAAGTGGATCACGAATCTGGCCTGGGAGCCATACCACGTGCAGGAGTCGGGGCGGCCGCGCCTGGCATCTGCCTCCAAGGACTCAACGGTGCGCGTGTGGGACGTCGTTTCGAGAGTAACTGACCATGTGCTCACCGGCCACAAGTCATCGGTTACTTGTGTGCGATGGGGCGGTACTGGCAAGATCTATACTGCATCCCACGACAAGACCATTAAGATCTGGAATCCCAAAGACGGCACCCTTCTCCAGACCCTGGCGGCACATGCCCACCGTGTCAACCACCTCGCGCTGTCGACAGACTTTGCTCTCCGCACTTCCTACCACGACCACACTGGCAAGGTCCCTGTGACCGAGGCCGAGAAGGTGGCTGCTGCGCGCAAGAAGTTCGAGGAGGCGGCGACGGTGAACAACACTATCGTCGAGCGGTTGGTATCGGCCAGTGACGATTTCACAATGTATCTGTGGGAACCGTCCACTTCGAGCAAGCCCGTCGCACGGATGCTGGGTCACCAAAAGGAGGTGAACCATGTCACGTTCTCGCCGGACATGGCGTACATCGCCTCAGCCGGATTCGACAACCATGTCAAGCTGTGGAATGGCCGTGATGGAAAGTTCATCACCACCTTCCGCGGCCACGTGGGTGCTGTCTACCAGTGCTGTTTCTCGGCAGACTCGCGCATGCTGGTGTCCTCCTCTAAGGATACCACCCTCAAGATTTGGGACCTGCGCACCGGCAAGCTCAAGATGGATCTTCCAGGACACAAGGATGAGGTGTTTGCTGTTGATTGGAGTCCCGATGGACAAAAGATCGCCAGTGGAGGTAAAGATAAGGCGATTAAGATCTGGCGGAACTAGATCTAGTCGCACTTGACATCAACTTGCCCAAGACATGCTCTTGACAGACAGCTAGTCTGGTATAGGTCTTTGCCGTCTGATGATGTTGCATGCATCCAAGACGAGCACAACATCCAACGCGCGGATGTTGGTAGTGACACATTGTGTGTACCCTCAGCTTGAGGGTGACATGGGTGCCTCAACCCCCAAAATCGACCCTCCGTGGATTTGATTCACATCATAAATCTATAGGCTTATTTACTCAGTGGCAGAGATCCGCAAGGCTGCCTTGCAGTATGCCACGGTCAGTGGCCTGGATAAACAAGCGAATCATAGAAACTCCGAGAGGTGTTTCTGTTTCGGACTAGATCTTGCAAATATAGATGCATGGAAGTTAGATGGTGGTTTAAGTGTGTGGATTGATTGATGAACCCTGTCCTGCCTACTGCCTGGGGCATAGGCTACAAGAGGACGCCCTTTATGTTACTTAGTTGCACTTTCATGAATATCATTATCATTTTTGCGTATTGACAGAATCGTTCACTGTAGTCACTGTAGACTTCTCTACTGTACCTAGACGAAATAAACCTGACTAATTAGGCCTGAACAGTCGTTTGTAGGGCAAGAGCAAGTGTCCATTTTAGGAAGGTACCCATGTTCTTGGTTTTGGGAAGGTGCGCGTATTACTGGGAGTATAAAAGGGCACTCACCCCCCCCCATCCTCTTTTTCTCTTCTTCCTCTCCCCAACCCTCTTGCAACCATCTCACCGTAGCCCCTAGAGAGGTGTAGAGGGTCCGGTGCATACACACCTACGGAGAGACCTCAGCATCATCCAGTTGCTTAGAGTCTTACCTAGGTCCCATACCTATGTTCAGTGTGTACCCAGATCGAACACCAGTTCTCGTGCGAGTCCTTTGATAAAGTCATGGCCTGAGCATTTGGGCTTTATGGCCATCTGACGGATCCCACGGAATACACCCCTGCTATTCTTTCACTGTGATATCTTTTTTGTACTATCCTAGATAACTTCAAGTGAGACAAGTCAGACAAGTGTTACCCTTCTTCCGCAACCTTGCAGCCACCGACGACATGGTGACTTGAAACTAATTTCGAGTCTGACTGTAAGCTTTCAAACCATACAGGTGTTCCTGAAGCTTCTCGGCCCGTTACTTCAGGTGACGAGGTACATGCAAATGTGTATACCATTTAACCCTACAACCCGAAAGATATGATATAGATTCAATGTTGTCAATTTATTAAATAAAATCTGGATCCAGATATAAAAGGAGTGTCATTATGATACATTCAAAAAACCCCAAAAAACAAGCTAGAACGACATCGACCAAAGAAGCAATCAGTTAAACAACCACATCGTTAATCTAGATATACTGCCAAGCAGGAACATCCCCGGTATAAGTCAAAGCAACAGCCGAGAACCCAAGACACTCATCAACATTACCATGGGGCACGGTAGCATTTTTAATGGCAGCAAACACCTGCCAGCGGTTATCATCAGCGGGACAAGCCATGAAACCACTAGCACCCCAACCACCAAAGGAGTAGTGAGCCCAGGGTTTATCAGCAGCGTAGTTGAACGGGCCGAGCGAGGAGCCCTGCGGGATATTGGCAGAGTGAGCCTGGGTGAAGCTGAGGGCTCCATTGGGGTCGATGTAGACCTGTTGGCCGCCGGGGACCATAGTATCCTGTTTATCGTTAGCGGGGGGTTGTCCTTTGTAGGATGTGGGTATGAGGGATAGTGTTAGTTGCGACTTACCAGAGAGCTGCCGCCGGGAGCGAAGACGGTTTGGTTTCCTGGTGGGCATTGGGGCACTTGGGTTGGGCAGTAGGAGGCGGTCTTTCCGCCGAGGTAGAACTTCTGACCCGCGGCGTTTAGTTGGAGATAGTGGATGGGCGAGCCGGAGCGGGTGGCCATCACGCTGAAGGCTGGGTTGGCTGCTGGTTCGGTGATTGGTGCCGCGGCGGCTAGGAGGGGGAGGGCTAGGGTGGTGATTGTGAACTTCATTGTAGATGGATATTGAGGATTGAAGACTAATGTTCTTGTTTTATGATGTTGAATAGTTGAATAGTTGGATAGATATGCTTGATTGGAATAGTAACAAGGGGAGGTCGTTGGACCTCTTTATATAAAGAGTCAGGAATGTACAAAGTAATATAAATAGAAGTTGCACATGTTCCGAGAACCCGAACCAAGGAACAATATCCATCAAAGGGACCCTCCGTCATGGACTATCGGGTTTGGCCGCTAGGGTGGCTGAAGTGGCGAGAGTCATTGGATGGATTGGGTGAATTTGAGACATTCAAGGTACACTATACTCCATACCCCGAATATAATTATCATTTTTGGTATGATTCATGCAACGGTATGAGGTTAGGTTACTACGCAGGATACTATTTTTCGTCGCTTAGACGAAAGATATGTGAGACATGGAGAACCATTCGTTTGCCAAGACGAGGGAACATTCTCTTCGTCAATCCGAGTGGCTGATACTCTCAAACTTGGGGGAAATCGGGGGATTCGGGTGAAGATCTTCACCCTTGTCTCAGTTTATAATTGGAACATCACGACCACTTCACCACTCCAATGCCTCAAAGATCTTGGTAACAGTCGGCTTAAGCCGCATATATCCACTTCATACTCTATACACATCTACATTCTACGTTTATTCGTTACCCAAGCCCTCTAATATGCGGTGTTCGGTCAGAACCTTCTACCTCGCTACCACTACCAACCCGAACAAAAAACCTCGCCTCCTACTTTCCCCAGAAAATACCCTCGACCCACCAGCGGCCCGATAAATGAACCCCATCTTTTACCAATGACAATTCACTAGGAACCGTGTTGCTGAGGAGATAGCCGCACACCGTCCAACGCCACCGACGCCCTACCCAAACCGGCGAACATGCAATATACACTGTCTCACCGGACCCTGCATCCCACTACAACCGGTACCGACTAATTTAACAACGCCGAAGACCCCGATGCAGTCGGGGTCTTGCGGATACACCGGGGGTGAACTAGCTGCGATCTATTTCTATTAATAATCTCCTGCAGCGTCGCTGCAGCCCGCATATCCGCGACTTCGTCTGTTTGTGCCTTGCATATACTAACTCGGTGGTACGGTACAGAGGAAGAAGACAACCATACTGCGTCGGCTTGGATGTTTTTGTTCCCCCTCCCGCCTGGAAGACCGTGTTGCCCTGTATCAGGACGTGGCGAGGATGGGCAGAGTCAGTTGGGTGATTATCCACAACGAGATTTCCTGGTTGACGCGGTTGGGTGATTGGAATTAGTCGGTGAGGTCAGTCCGTTTCACGAGTGTTGTACATTGTCCGACGTGGGGAGTTCGTTGAGGTTCATGTTGGTGTATCGGGTTGAGAGGTTCGTGTTGGACAGTCCGGTGTTGTCGGGATTCTGTCAGGCCCGGTGTTTTCGGATTTCTGTCAGGTACGGTGTGACGTCTGTGACCTCGGTGGGGGGGTGATGGTGGTGGTTTCGGTTTTGTTGAGGGTTGTTCGTGTGGGATATGGATTTATTGTGCTACACTGGGTGTGAAATGGTGTGTACTATCCTTTATGGATCAGGTGCTGTACAGGGCATCTGTGGGCTGTTGGTTCGTTTCTAGAATTTACTGGAAGAAGGGTAGTTTAAAGATTCAATGCTATTTTTGGTGGGCATTTAGTTGAAGGGATGGCCTGACATGTGAGAGGTGCCTAGGTAGATTATACTGGCTGGCTAGTAGATGGTGTTGATATCACGAAGTGAGAAGTGGAAATAGTGTGTATCATAGATAGATCATCATGAGACTTTAGCCTGATGACATATTCAAAGGCTGATGTTTGAGCTACAGCCACAACTATATACATCAGGCTCTCACATAGCGCCATCTGAAACTACGACCTATAAGATCTACTCGACACCTGTGGATACAACACACTTGAGTATACTTCTTAGAAAAAATATTGGAAAGATAACTGAATAATCTCAGTGGATTTGGATATCAAACTTTTTCTATGCCAGACAAACAATCTCAGCACTCAGCAATTCAAACCGGATCTCGATTTGCCGAAAAGAAAAGTGTATATACGTGCGGGCAATCGACCGCGGAGGATATGAATAGACACAGCCAGAGGCCGACAAAAAAGAATAGGGGACAACATATTCGGAAGAAAGCCATGAAACAAAAACCAGATAGAACCCACCCCCCAGCACCGTGTAGCAATATTGAAACCTGCAAGCCAGAGTCTTGCCCAGAACACCGTAAGCCACGCGCCGCCATTTGCTCCCCAATGTCTCGATTCATAGCAAGGTGGTAAAGAAAAAAAAAGCAAATATAAGGAAAGATCAGACAATACGTTGAATCAAGTGCCCCCGCATATCGCGTAGTGCACTATGGGTCAAAGAATTGCTCTTTTAGTAGTCGCCTTCGTCATCGTCATCTCCATCTCCACCACGGCGGGGTCCCTTTACTCCGTCCTTGCGAATGGGGATCTTGATACCCTGTAGCGCAAAGCACTTGCTGAGCTGGGTGCTCTCAATAACACCGGGGAACTTCTTGGCGGAGAAGACCTGGAAGGGTTCGGAGAAGACGGATGCTAGAACGGGCGCGGTTCCGTGATTGATGACCGGGGCGCCGTTGGAGGTTTCGGCAGATGACGTGCCCACATCAACGAAGCTCATTTTCAGACTGGATTTTCATTAGCAATTAGTCTAGTTCGAGTGATTCCCATTCAATTGACTTACCGGAAAGTGCCTTCTGTCCGTACACTCAAATCTTGTAGGATAAACCACACTCCGATTTTGTTGTCTGGGTCTGTCAATCGGAAAGCACTGGCGCTGAGACTTCCGATCAGATTTCGAGTGAACATCCCACCCGGTCCTCCCGAGACGGGTTGTGCGGCGGGCGACATGGACGGTGGCATTTGACCACCGGAGTAGTATTGTGGATAGGTCACTGGCTGACCGTATTGATTTTGGTATGCCACCTGCTGGCCACCGTAGTAGTTGTTCATCTGCGGTGGGTAGCCCACGGGGTACTGGCCCTGGTTGTAGCCCGGGTAGGTCGGAGAGACGCTCTGAGGCGGGGGAGGGTATGAGGAGGACATGGCGGTAGAGATGGAGGGGGAGGTGGCGGAATGTTTGACGAGGTTGACCTCGTTGGTACCGTCGGCATTCCACAGGTCGACGGTGAGCACGTAGAATGATGTATCGATTTCACTGCAGAGGGAGAGATGGTTAGCAAGCCGAGAGGTAGAGAGCAGCTGGTTGGAACAGGAACATACTTGATATCGATTTCCTTATCCGTCTGCGCATCGCGCACAATCAGACGAATGCATGGTGGCGGAGTGATGGGTCTCCGGTCCTGGAGTTGTGTTAAAACAAGGTGGCAAAACAATTATCAGCGGAAAAACCACCCACCTTATCACCAAATCCACACATACGAGCCCGGATGGGCTGTTGCACCACTTGTAATGACCAGGAGCGACCATCTTGGTAGTTTGTCACGGGTGCCAGATGGTCGGATTGCCGTAGCGAGTTGGGCCCAGACGGGTATTGGACGGACGGAGCAGAGATGCGATCCATTGAGAGCGGAGGTGGGACGGGATGATGTCTATCCTCGACGGCGTACATGGTACCGGATTGGAAGGAACCGAGGATGGACTCGTGATAGATAAACGACGGGTTCCTGTTTTTTATCGATCTATTCTGCTAGATCTCAACTACCTGGTTGTTCGAAGAGAGAGAGAGAGAGAGAGGTGGGGTGTTGGAGATGCGACATGCGACCCCGCGGGATGTTCAGACGTCACACTTGGAGCATCGACTTCCGGGGCTGAACAGAGAAAGGGCGTGCACAGCGGGGGGAGAAAAATAGCGGCGCTTCCGTTTGAATGTATTGAGACTGATCCAGGCCGATCAGTCCAAAGCGCCTTGTAGAAACCGATTTCGATGCGATATGGCAGAAAAGTGAAGCGAAGGGGTCGGAGAGTTTTATTCGCGAACCGTAGAATGGAGCTGGAGTGGCGATATCCGAATCTGAGTGTTGAAAGCTGAAAAGATTTAGCATCTGTTCAATGCCTCAGGCTTTTTTTTTTTTTTGGGTCAACCGCACGATGACGCTGTCAAAGTGCGGGAGATGGGCTGGGGCTTCCACGGATCGCACTTAGGGATAACATACCCGAGACACAAGAGATGGGGAAATAATTTCAAGGTGTTCCAAGGAAATTTCGTGGAAAGGTAGAGTTAAAAGAGGGTCAGAAGGGTCAAAAGAGTCCCAAGAGTAAGAGAAAAGAGGTTACAAGTTGTTACTCTTTCTCTCTCTGCAGGAACCTGGACCCAAACCGTCGGGTTTCAATTTAACTGGCGAATGAGATGAGATGAGAGACCAAAGTGTCCGCATTCGGGCTTCATCTAACCCGCAAACGGCCTTCATTTGATTCGAGACAAATTTTCTCCATTTGAACCAGATTTTACTTGATTTTTTGATTTTAGAGAGTAGAAAGTAAATTGGGTTGGGTTCGGGTCATTCTCGGAGCTCATGAGATTCTTTGTTCATCCTACTACATGTGTGTGCACTTATGATCTAGAGGCGCATAGGTACCTAATATAGTTATGTTTTAACATGACTAAGGAGTAGTTAGCTAACTATCTATATTAACTAATATATAAATATATATATAAATATATAAATATACAATTATCACCTCCCAAAATGGTATCTCCGAAACTCCAAAGGCCCAGAAGCTGATTACCAAGACCCCTTACAGTATGCATGAGGATGACAGATCCCGATCGTGTGGCCCCTTATTTAATAATTTAATAATTTAATAATTTAATAATTTAATGATTTAATGATTTAATGATTTAATGATTCAAATATTATAATCATATATAGTTATAAAGCTATAATTTACAATATAGCGGTGAATTAAATACTAGTGCTTGCACTGGAGAACAAGGATTGCAATGTGTGAGGTATTTGAACCGGACTCCGCGGAAATTAGATGGTATCCTAGACGTGTCGATTATGAAAATATTTCGACTGTATGGAGTACAATTATTTCGTGCTGAGGATCAACCCTCGCATGTTGGTGATCTCCTCACTATCTCCGAAGCGATCAGTTCCAAGGTTATTCCCTAATTAAGCCGCTGTCCATACCCGTTGGCGGTGCAGACTCCATATCTCTCTCTAGGGCTCCCGAGGTCTAGTGCTGACCATCCCTAGAATTTATCGACCAATCGACAACCAATCGATAGGGACCTCACTTCCTCCAACAGAGTCCAGTTCTAGGTATGGAGTAGGCAATGATCTGATTGCCAATATTGGTTTGTCACTGCTCACATCGATGTGTCTCGTGTGATATGTTTGGCGTGCACGTTCCCAAAAGTGGTACCAACTCCGGCACCGTCACTGAGGCACGTCGAAGCCAGGTCGTGCACCTTCCCCCTCGATTGCTTCTCCCCAGTCTCGCCCCAAAACTACCGGCACCAATCGTTGCCATTCTCCTCTCACCCCTGGCAGTCACTGCAGGCGACTCGAGCTCAGCTCAGATCCATTCCAATATCGACCGTATGGGTAGGCCAAGCGATTGATACCAGCTGGAGCCACTCCACGAACGGTACAACGAGCATTTGCCAGATTAAAGGCGATGATGCAGCATTGTGGGGCTGCGCCGTCCACCGCCACCCGTCCCTAGGTGAGGGCTCACTCCCCACAGCTACCGGCCCGTCAACCTTGGTGCGTCAGAGCTTCATCGCTAATGGCAGTCTAATTACCTCAAGCACTATCTTTGACCAGAGTGGTTTGAATTCGCGAATGGCCTCGGAAAAACAACAAAAGAGGTCACAGTAACCTTTGTGGTCGGGGCGTGTGTGGATCGAGTATGTAGGCGCTGCTTAGATGGGGCTACTATTGGGCCACTTACGTCGAGATCGTAGACATGGCTTCACTGTTTCCCCCTTGAACGACTACGCTGATGCAAATAATGAATCGAATACTCTTGATAGTTTGGTCCAGTTAACATGCACGACCGCCAGGTTTATGGCGGAGCTAAGATAACGATCCCAACCAGAACAGTACTCGGAAGTAGCGTCTTTAAACCTATATGTTATCTCGAATACATGATCTTATCGTCGGTGTTGATTCCCCAAGTCAGTAAATTTGGCTTAATGGTGGATCATCTTCGAAGGTAGAGGTTGGGATGTTGGAGTTCAGTCATGCGGCTTCCTCCCGATGTACCCTTTTCGGTCAATCGTGCCGTTGCGGGAGGTGTCAACCAAGTTGTGCTGCACGGCCAATCGTATAATGGCAACTACTACAGCGAAATAGCCGGGATAAACTAGGTTCTGTGTTTTCTTTCATCCCTACTCTGACAAACAGCAACCGCGCGCTTCTTGATTTGGTCAATGCAGGTAAGATAACTTATTAGGGGAGCTCTGGAAGGTTTAAATGTCGGTTTATCTCCACTCAGGGTGCTCTTATACTTGTCTTCCCCCGACGATTTTTCACTTCCTCGAGTCAAGGTTCAAGGTGGCACCAACAGCAATATCAATCTTGATGGTGTGCAGTATACGAGAAAACACACCCTATGCGTTACCATTCCCAGCAGTGGAGCTTTGGAGTCGCGGCGTGCATACAATTAAAATGGGGCAGCTATCCGTGCCGTTAAAAAAAGCCATTCGTGTGTTGACGAACTCCAATGATGTCCAAAATGTGTCCGCTGGCCAGGCCGCCACCAAACTTCAGCCTGTCAGTCTCCAGGCCAACTTTGACGTGCAAGCCAATGGCACTTAACACAAACTTGAGCGGAAGACGAACCAAACGCCATATTTTACGCTTTCTTATCCTGAAATACCAAACGCATCAAGTGGCGCTGCTAGTATTATCAGCACCAATATCTCTCAAACTTCCGGACCGGGGAGCAAGGCGTATGCTCCGTCATCAACCCTACGACAAGTACGGAGTATGTGGTGATCCATTTCATCATGGTAGCTGATCAAATGATAATCACCGGACTAAAAGACACCGGAAATCCGCCTAAAGGCGCGTACCACTGATGGTCGGATTACCTGCGGAGTTCCGCCTTAGGATCACCCCGAGCAGGCCCACTACAGTCCTACACATCGCAGCAAACTAAGCGATCAGACAATCAAACCCTGGAACAGAGGTATTGAACTGTCGGTCTGAGTCGCCAAGTATCCAGCTACTCAACTGGACCCTTGCTCTCATACAGCTGCTATTGCCACCCAGCACAACTCATCACCTCAGATCCTTGACCGCCTAAGTGTGGATTGACGGTATTGATGTATTAACAGCCTTGAATACTGGTCGCCTACCAAATTAAAAGCTTCAGCTTACCGCTGACCAGTAGATGTAGCTTAGTTGACAGTATCCTCTTCCGTCTATAAGGTCACATAGTCCATAAGGCCACATAGCAAGGCACGATCTCAACACTATTGCAGGTTGATCTCGTTACTTCCATGCCGATCTGTGTAATTCCCCTAGAAACATCAGTGCCAGATGACCTTCGATGTGACAATACATCCGCCGTATCTTCGGTCAGATCTAAAATATGGCGCTGTCCAACATCCTAGCATTGACGCCACACCGTGCAGTGAGAATGTGCTTATTGGCAAAATGAAGGTGTCAGCCTTGCGAAAGGTGGGGGGTAATTAAACCAACAGTCACCTATCACATACAATTAGCCTGAATCTGGGGGATCTCGCACCTACCAAGGCCGATCTAAGTGAGAAAATGAGGTGTTGCCCTGCATCTCGGACTCAAGAGGGGTGGGTAGCCTCGAGGTCAGCATGATCAGCAATCACGCCATTTACCCATTTACTAAATGACGCTAAAGCAGAGTACCCCAGTCAAAAACTATGTACAAGGGTTCCAAGATCCAGACAAAGAAAATTCTGAAGGGCGGTCCGCCTGACAGGGCCCTGGGGTAGATTGCATGCGAACTATGTTGTAACAACTAGGCCCCGGGGGGCCTAGGGGGTGGCGTGTTTATCACCTTTAGTGGGTGTGATAAGGGGGTAAGTTCTTTGAAATGCATGTTTTGTCACGGAAGGATCTGGCCTGCTCAAATATTCGAGGCTCCATTGAGTGAAATAAGTAAAAGGGGAGTAAAGCTGACCGATCAATACAATCTGGGCATTCCAAAATATTTCCATTTGGAATTCGAAGTCGTACTCCGTATACGTAGGCAGGGCCATGCGGAGCCCGCGGCTGTGGGGGGCAATTATCCAAACGGGTAAAAACTTAGTCCGATGGGAATGCCACGCGATAACCAATTCTAGTAGCTTTCCTAAATAGGAAATAAGACAGTCCTAGAGAGAGGTCAGGCGAAACTGTGCTAATCGGAAATGAGCTTAGGGCATGGAAAGATCACGGGCTAGGATAAAGATATCCATGGATGTACCCGAGATGTGCCCACACTGGGCATGCACAAAGTGCATGGAACAAAAGGTCCAAGCGCGTGCGTCTTCCCCGATCGGGGAAAAGCATCGCTCGTCGAGCGAAACTTATTTCGGATAGACTTGACTGGCTCCATATTACTAGTCCCAAAGAGGATTTAGCGTGGATTGTTCTAGGGGCTAGTGGGGCTAGTGGGGGTTGCGGGAAACAGTTAAAGTGCATTTTCATTTATTTTTCTGGAATGTCGCTAAGTCACTCTAGCTTGTGCTTATACCCTCCTAGGATAGAGTCCCGAATATCTCTTGCATAAGTGGACTCCAGGGTAAGTACCTAGGTATTTGGTAAGAGAATATCCCGCATAACACATCCGCTTTGCCGTTTTGCTTTGGAATATGGTTTGGAATACGAGAACATCAGAAGTTTGAGCTTTTAAACGAGCAAAAAAGGATTCGACCTTGAATATTCAAAGAGCTGAATACCCCAGAGATTTATTAGACCTAGTATGGATATACTTGGGTAGGCACAGAAACCAAGTTGGCTATGAACGGTTCAGTTACATATCGCGAATACGGCGGCCCCGCCGGCGGGTGGGCAGTAGATTATGTCATATGAAGCACGAGCCATCCTGCATTTACCGATTTGGGACACAGCGCCACTCTTACCTATTTGGTGCATTGAATGCCGATTTGGCAAAATGGACATATCAAAATAATAACACCTAATCCCCCCCACCCCCACCGCTTCGCTGATATGACTTTTTCATGATATCAGGAAATCCTCCTTTCTCCTTCGGGTGATATTTGGAGGACTATGATTCAAGTTCACTGCAACCCCCGAATCAAATAAACATTCACTCTACAATGCAACTATGCGACTCAGCATCCTCCTGGAATAAGCGGTCGAATAAGCGACGCCAGACAAGTATGCAAATTGACCGGCGCGTTAGAGTATGACACCCCCTGCTTAAGGCTTCTGGGCCCTACCCATATCAGAGCTTTCAATTGATATATGGAGGGTCTAGTCCCCATTGCTCCTCTCCCTCTCTGACTCCTGCCACCTCCCCCACATGTCCTCGCTAACCCAATCCTCACAGTATAAGGAACAGAGCTCAACCTGTGTGCATTGCCTGGATCGCAATATGCTCAGCCAGTATCCGCCTCGGCCCCGATTGACCCGGCTAGATAGCAAGCCTGGGTCTTTCCTTCCCTCAACTAGCATTTCCTCATCACCTCCAACACCCATAACAGAGTCCTCGCCCTCGCAGTCAAATCGTCAACCCCGACAAGAGCACCCACCAACATGCCTTTCAACCCACATCGAAGAAACCCTTCACCTAAAAGACCTCGAACTGATGATGCACTGGTGCACAACAACCTACAAATCTATGGCAGGGGACCCGGCCTCCGAACAAATATGGCAAACAACCATCCCCCAGCTCTCTCTCCGCTATCCAGCCCTTCGCCAAGGCATCCTAGCCCTCTCAGCGCTGCACCTCGCCTCAACAAGTACATCTTCCCGACGCTGGCGGCACCTTGAAACAGCGCGCTTGTACCAAGCACAAGCACTAGCAGGTATTCACGTCGAGGTCGATGAAGACGCACCAGAATCAGAAAGCCAAGCGACCTTCGCGCTGTGCTGCATAATGATCGTCTTCACCTTCGGCTTCTGTCAAATCGACAGCGAAAATGACTCAGACGAAGAGCTGCCCGACGTGCTGGACGAGTTCTTCGAGGTATTCCGGCTAACCCGGTGGCTAGTCAGCATCCTGCTGGCCTCGATGGAACGCATCACAACGAGCGAGCTGGACCCGCTCTTCCACCCCGAAGACCCACTCCCAACAATGCCGGACATGTCGCGACTAGTGGTTCTCTCATTGCAACGACAGAATGACATAGAGGCCATGCGAGATGCGACGCACGAGACGGACCTGTATGACTCGGCCATTGAACATCTCAGCCACGCGCTTGAGCAGTTGATGAAGGGTGGCGAGCCGAAGGTATTTGCGTTTTGGTGGAGTTTCCGTATCCCCGCGGAGTTTCTAGAGCTGCTTGAGGCACGCCAGCCATTTGCGCTTGTTGTTCTGGCGCATTATTCGGTTATTCTGCATCATCTCAGGAGTTCGTGGTGGATGGGCGATTGGGGGAATAGGATTCTGCAGGAGATTGGGGATACCCTTGAACCGGAGTGGCAAGATCTTATTAACTGGCCGATCGATGCGACGGGATGTTTCCTTCCGAGGACTGATGCGTGCGTGCGAGTGGTATCCCCGCTTAGCTTTTGATGACGGGGTTTTACATTTTCTTGTGTGGTACCGTTTTCAAGTGGCTTGATTGAGCGTGAGTAATGCATCTAATGAGACAATGAAGCGTGTAATTAGCATAGATATTTAATTGTACATAGCATAGTTTTTTTCAATTGAGACAAGGATCGCTTGTCATGGGAAGTATATCATTTCTCGGTTTTTAGGAAACAATTCCGGGAAACACAGATTATCGTTGCAATACACATCCAAGCGTATGTCAATAGAGGAAAAACACAATCCCGCCCAAATATATCCGAAGCGCCGTTCCTTTCCCGGTATTCTATTGCTTCCCGAGTATATGAAGCCGGGAACGCCGATTGGAGAAACCGTGCGAAGAAAAGAAAAGAAAAGAAAAGAAAAGAAAGAAAAAGCAAAGACCACAAACCCAGAAGTCCGATCGATAGCCCGATGGAAAAAGAAAAGAAGATCCTCGCATTCGAAGCAGCACTGCCCGCAGTGGTTTCTGCTCGGACAATCACCTCTTCCCGGATCGACACTGCAGCCAAAGAAAAAAAGCAAATATTCTTCACGGCCAATTCCAGACCGAACATCAGCCTTCATCGAGCCCTCTCAACAAAGAATAAATCAATCGCAAACCCAATCCACCCCACCCTAAATCGCCATAACCAGCTTAAGAAGAGGAAGAAGAAGCGGGAGAATCCCTCCGCAACTCCTGCCTCTCCTGTTCAAGCTCCCTAACACGATCCTTAGATTGCGTGCGCACACGAATAAGCTCCGCCTCCTGCTCCTGGATCTTTTTCTCATGCTCTTCCTCTTCAGGAGTAGGGATATAAGCATTTGCGGCGCCGCCTATGGAAATAGCATATCCGTTAGCGGCTATAGCGTTCGTAACCTTGGGAAAAGATCCCAGGTTGTATGGGCTCTATATCTTGTCATGGGTTAAACATACCTCGGCCTGTGTGGTGGGGGATCTGCTGGGCGCGCAGAGGCGGTGACTCGACGTCTTGGCTCTCGCGCGCAATTTCTGGTCGCTCTGGGTCATTGTGTACCATGTTTCCTGAGCCGCCGCGGCCTGTTGTATAGACTTCTTGCTTGATGGTTGGTGTGACGAGGTCTTTTGGTGAGGGCGCGGGTTGTTGCCGGGTTATGTTACCTGGGGTATAGTGGGTTAGTTTAATGGACTGACTGATGTGGCGCGTTGTGAGAGATCGCGGAAGGGGGAGGGGTTGTCACATACCCGCGCCTCCGCGGCCATAGGAGATGTTTCTTGACATTGTGTAGACAAGAAGATCAAAGACTGGGGAGTTGGGGGGCTTCAAAAACGGAAGTTTGAAGTTTGAATGGGGCCAAGGGAGCTGTGCTGTGGGGAGAAATTCGCAATTCGCAATTCGCCAAATGACGACAGACTTTTTTTTTTTTTTTTGGCTCTTTGACACTACCAAGTATGGACATAGTAGGGATACAAATATATACTTATCTCTGTCCAATATTTAATTTCTATCTTATATTTTATGTATTTCTTATTCCAAGGTTCTCATATTCTCATATTCTTATATTCTATATCTATGAGCTCATAGATATCTGAACTTATTTCCGCGCTAAGCCAATGAGGTCAGGGTCTTCCTTATCAGCTCTCTTAGGCGCCATCCTAATCCGGGGTGAACTCTAATCAAATGGCATGCATTGCACTTTCTATTGACCTCAGTGCATAATGGAATAGGTTGGCTATCATTAACATCCCCATTCCCTTCACCAAAGTCAGCCTGGCCATCACCAGCCTTCATACCATACATTCTACTAACTAGGCCCAGTCAATACAATGTAGCAGGTAACCTGGTACTTTTGCTTGTAGAGATAAGCAATTTGCGGCTTCTCCTGTCATAAGAATGTGACCGATTAATCAGCTAAGGAAAACCCACATTGGTATGTATCAGGCCATACAACTTATATACTTTGGGCATATATATGTGCCAGTTTATTCACAACCAAACATGAGATGCCAGCTGAAATATAACATCGCCATAACCCGTAACCTCCGGTGTGGAAGACGTCGCCAGTGACAGCGAGAGCTGGTAACATAAAGTCTTGAAAGCTGACGAAGACTGAGCGATGAGGGTTATATAGTTACTAGTACCCGAATCAATCATTCATCGAAAGATATCATTACCATCATCTCCCAACTAACATTCCTTAGACATAGTATGTTTGCCTCCATGGAAAGTGCTGATCTTTAATAAGGTATTTGTGAACAGACTGTTGCACTCTATTATAGGACCCCTGAAGGGTGGTCTTGCTAGGTTTAGGTTGAGAAAAAGGTGCATAAACTGCATTAGCACTGGGTCGAGATTGCTGTTGAACTGGAATAAGCCGACAAATGATCTGGGTGGAAGTGGTGTTTGCAGAAGCAGTACCAGGTCACCAAGTTACAGTCTGACAAGATGGGCCGAGAGGGCCACGTCGAAGTGCATGGTTGAATGTGAGATTGAGGTGATGGTGTAAGAAGGTAAGACTAGACCTACGACTGATACGCAGCAACTATTACCTTTGTGCGTGACTTCCTCAAACACCCACTTTCCACTGCCCTTCACCTTACCTTCTCCTCACTCCCGCCATCCCCGCTCTATGGTTAGCCCTAATGCTAGCTAGCGTGAAGCCTGACATGACGTCCTCGACTGAAACGCCTTCCTACCCGACGCCTCTATCGGAGAAGTAAGGTCGATTCCTCTTCTATACTCTCGCACGATGCGGCACTTCAGTCCTGAAGTAAGAAACTCTCACCTCACATATAACCCGTAATTAGCCAATGGGGAAATCGACATGCCCACTACGAAGGTAGTCGGATTTCCCGTACACACTAACATTGGTCACGCTCTTACCTCTGTGTATGGTGAGCCAATTTTCTTTGCCGTGATGTGCGACACTTTTGCCCTTGTTAGCTCAATGTTTCCCCTCCGGTAGCTGTCAGCCGACTGATTTGACACAGAGCTATATACCCCAGAAAACCGGCAGATTATCCGTATGTCTCTTGATGCGACGTGCGCACGCCACGAGTACGAAGATAGGCTGGCGGCGTCAGACCTACATATACGCTTCCGCAAGGACGGCACCGTCAAGCATATCCTACGCGGGCTTCTCGATAAAGTCCGTCTGCCCCGGGCAGAACCATTCGACGTCGAACCTGGTGACAACACCGTGATGTGGATACGCGCAAGTCGATTATTAAGTTTGTCCTCGAGTGCACTAAGGCACATATTGGAAGCGCCTAAACTCTCCGATGGCCGGGTAGCGCAAATTGATCTAGCATCAGAGATGGTTGTCTCATTCATCGATTTCGGTTTTGTTGCGGATGCAGTATCCAGATAATTCTCAACTAAGACAGCTACTCCATCTACTCAGAGCAAAATGAAAGCGGGCGGCGGACTTTGACATATATGCTCTAGCCATTTCTGAACTATAGCTCGGTAAAAGGAGTTCATGCATATCGTATTAGCTTTAGCACTTTCGGCCCTTTCCGAATATATCCCTACAAAACGAAGGTTGTTTCATTCTCCTATTTGCTCACTATTTCTGCCCAATGGACTAGGCCTGGCAGAATCAGCATATATAAATCAATCAATCTCTTCCAAGGTGGTCTGTTGAATTGGCACCTGTCCGTTTCTCTCTAAATAACTAACTATCAATTATAATCGGCATCTCTTTGCTAGTCAAGAGTTCTCTTCGTATTATACATCGCACCACCTATATTACCTGCAACCCAACAAAACACCCAGTCATCTTCCGCAGTGCGCATAGCGCCTAATGACCTGCCTCTGGAGCAAATTGAGCTCCAGAAATTTCCGAGCCATTCAGTTCATCAAGCGAGGTTTGAATCCTTCCTGGGACCCCAAAAGTCCATTAGAGGGGTCAAAATTTATGCTTCAAAGCTTCTTCCATAATGGGGTCCCATTCTGGGGGACCACGACATACTGGCTTGTTCTTATCATTTATAAGCGTTACCCCCAATCGCATAGCCACCCGAAACTTCTACATTCCCATGACGGCTATGTATGCTAGATGGTGCGTTATCTTAAGTGAATTGGCCCTGAATGGCTTGTACCCTATCATGTACAACTGTACATGGGCTAAAGATAACCTAGGTAAAGATATGCTTTTCTAAGAGCATCTGTTACAGGTTATATCGATGGAAACTGATGCGAGTATACAGGAACTTGGGCCCGGATAATTGAAGACGCACGATGGGCCTTTGCAAACGTCGGACTTATGCCTATGAGCGGCTACTCTACGTACGACTGCCCCATAACCAGGTCGACCGGAAAGTTAATGGAATTGTGCGGAAGTTTACCCCTTCCTATACCATCCTATGCGTGAGGGGCCGATTTACTCCGCCGTGATTTGCGACAATGTTGCTCTCGTCAGCTCAATGACCACGAGGATTTCACTCTCTGTCCAACACTGGACTGCCCCTAAGAATACCTGAGATACCAGACCTAGACTTGCTACAGACAGCCCCTTGCGTTTTGAAGAATCGACTTTTTCTTCTCATCAGCAATTTATCTTGTAGTACTCTTGTATCGCCGTATTAACCATGTTCTCTAAGCAATTCGAGGTACGACTTATTTCCTGACATATCACATCGTGAATGTCGATGGTCGCCCTTACAGTCGCGGACCCTTTCCGCTTACATAACCCGGCTCCACCTCCGATTCTCACTTCACCTCTGCAAGACTTGGAATCTGCAATTAAGCCAATTCCAGTTCCTCACCAAAATGAACGCCAATCCCATCAGCATGTCCATCCGCACAGCTATGTCTCTTGGCCGACTAAACCCCGCCGCGCCCTCGCTCGCTGGCGCCCTTCGTCCTCTCCATCAGACCACTTCCAAGCAGCTCACACGCCTTAGCTCTACGACAGCTCGTCCGGCCGCCGCAACATTGAACCTGGACTCCCGGCCACGCGCCAAGGCCGTGTCGCCATCATCCATTGCTCTGCGCGCAAACTCGACCTCAGCACCTGCCAACAAGGAAGTCAAGCTCGACTGGGACTCCTTCTTCAAGCTCCGCGCTTCCCGCCGCCGATACTCCCTTGTTTCTTCAGTTGCCAGCTCCGCTATCAGCACCACAGTCGGCGTGCAGGTTCTGTCCGGACAGGATCTTGAACATCTCGGCGCTACGGTTATGGGCCTCGATCCATTTGTTGTCCTGGGATTGGCGACCGCCGCATGCGGTGCTGTCGGATGGCTTCTTGGACCGGCTCTCGGAAATGGTATTTGGGGACTTGTTTACAGGAAGTACAAGCCCTCTGTCAATACGGTGAGTAGTCGCAAAACAAAGTGGCGGTTTATGTCTGGTCTGTGCTAATGTGGTTTGTTTTCGTTGTGTAGAAAGAGAAGGAGTTCTTTGATCGCATTCGCCGGTTCCGTGTCGATCCCTCCACCAACTCGATCTCTAACCCCGTCCCCGATTACTACGGCGAGAAAATTGGCAGCGTGGCGGGTTACAGAACCTGGTTGAAAGACCAGAGGGCTTACAACCGCAAGCGCCGCAACTTCATTGCCTAATTTCTTTTCTCTTTCTCTCTTTTCTCTGTGATATTGGAGCATTTTTTTTTATTCATGTCAATATGGTTGAAACTCTAGTTTCTGTTCAAAACCAAATCTGGTGACTTTCTTTTTTTGTCCGGGCCGGTGTTTATTTTGTTACAATATCATTAGCGGTCTTGGTAGCTGGGGCATTGCAATGTATTGGGAATGACCTTTGATAATACGGTCAATTTATTGCGTATTTTCGTAACATTGTTAAGACTTGTATCCTTTGGACAGTCTTGTGTGCACTAAGTGAAACCCGAAAGTGCTATCCTCAATTATTAACATCCCCTATTCTCCACCTCTTCAAAAGTACTGGCCTCGCTATTACCATTTAAAATGTCAGGCTTTGGATTTACAGCTTTGAAGGCGCCTTTGCTTTAGGATTCCGGCCAGTATCAACCTCCGTCCACCACGGCACACTGGGCGGCGGGTTGTCATCAAGGTTAGCCTTGAAGTTCGGCTTTCGTTTCTCAAAGAACGCCGAAACGCCCTCCTTCTGGTCCCTTGTGTGATAGTAAGTATCCGCAGCCAGACTCTTTATGAATTTCACTTACTCTGATCCAAACATATGATTGATGACCTTCGACTCGATGAGATGAGCAGCCTCCGCCGACCCAGTATCGCGCCACATAAGCGCACGATTGAGGTACGACGAAGCCGGGCTCACATTCTCGGCAATATCAGTGGCTAGCTCGAGAGCGCGCGGCAGGACCTGCGATGGGTCCGGGAGGATCTCATTGAAAAGGTCGCCGAAGTGCTTGGATGTAGGCGGGAAGACTCCTCCCGTGCTAACAAGGTAGCCGGCATTTGAGTGGCCGACGAGACGGGGGAGGAAGTATGAGGAGCATGATTCTAGAGTTATACCTCGGCGGGCAAAGACGAAGCCGTATTTGCCTTTTTCATATCCAATTCTAAAAGCACAAGAGATATGTATGTTAACCAAAGGGCTCTCTCTGGTGGGTGTATTTTTCTGGCGTGCAATTGACGTACCGGATAATCGCTGGAAGCGACATAGTCATACCGACTCCAACGGCTGAGCCTTGCATTGCTACAATTGTTGGCTTGCGGCATCTATGGATCGCCAGTACCACTCGTCCACCACTGTGTTGGGTTACTTAGCAAGATTATATATATATCGGACTACCGGATGGGCATTCTCTTACCCGTCACGATGGTCCGCCGTCCTGCCCCTACCACCGCCGAAACCAATCTCAAGGTCTGCACCAGCGCAGAATGTCTTCCCTGCGCCTGTCAAAACGACAACTTTCACGCGCTCGTCGACATCGAACATCGGGAAGAGCTTCTCGAAGTCCACGACCATTTGTGGGGTGAATGCATTATGTTTAGCAGGACGATTAAGGGTTACGATGACGACGGGGGTGACTGCAGGCGTGCCCAGGGGGTAGTGAGAGACGACAACATGGCCGGTTGTTTCGACCTTTTCGTAAGAAGATGGAAGCTCAATAGGACTAGGATCGAAGATCATGATGGATGTAGGGAAGTATATATTTTTTGTTCAAGTAGATATAGTCCATGTGCTAGACTGCAACCTTCATATATACCATCTCTCGGTTATATATTTCAACACTTCAATAATAATAAACAGCCTACATTCTAAGCCGCGGCTCGGCTGGACAGGCTTGGCGTGGAGAAAGCTGGGGGATCACCATCACCCCGCTGCGGGGTCGTGAATTTCAATACTGGCTTACACCGGGGCAAGGGTGCAGTCTGTTTCACATCCTTATCCGAGGTATATTAGAAGTAGATACAAACCTATATACATATATTAGAACGAATTGTTCTATGCAACTTGAAATTTGGGCCCGTGTAATGCAAAATGCTGGCCAGTCGTGGAATGGACATGGTGATTTAGTTTAGTGGCAAGCAGAGGATAGTAATAGGAATATGTAGCGGAAGGTAGAGATAGAGGGTGACAGGATATAGATAGTAGAAGAGAAGGACAAATCTAACACGCTAAACGGCAAACCTTTGGGGCATCGCACGATGTCTCGCTTTCTTAGGAACTTCTAAGGTTAGAAGACGAGGGAATTATTAACCCTGTTGTATCTTCATACTATATATAATGCTCCATCATAGCTCAAACTATTGCCAGAAGTCGGGAGAACCTAGAGTCTGGAAACCAAGGCTGGCAAGGCCACCCAATTTGTTCAAACCGGGAAGGATCCGACTCTAACCTAGGAATTGACCACTAGCCAGGGCAATCCAGGGTAGATTCTCATCCCAGCAGTGTTGCATCAATTGACGTGCATTTTGAATCTAGTAAGTACAATGTCAGCAAATACGTCCAAACGAAGCCCAGACCAGTATAGAAGCGTACCTGTTTCATGCCTGAGCTCTCCAATAATAGGAACCTCTCCAAAAGCTTATCCTTTTGAACCGAGTCTCTGGATTCACAACCAGCCGTGAAGAGCGGGAACAAGGAGCAGACTTCAGTGGCTGCACCAGGGCGCATGCGTCCGAGGGCGTCAATGAGCTTGCGCAAGACCTCCTTCACGGGGAAGGAGTCAGGCGGAGATCCAAGGACACGGCGATGGAGATGCAGGAGACCGGCAAACCGGAAGGCCTCCTCGATGGCTATCATGTCCGAGGATTCGACGCCATGATGGTGTTCCGGGCTAGTATAAGCACGATCGCCGATCCCGTCGATATCACCAAGCACGGATTGCGCTTCCAGGACCACTTCTGTAGATGGATGCCAGTCATGTCGGAAGTTGCCCATTTCGTCGAAGCGCTGATTGTCACATTCCTGCACCAGCCGTGCGAGACGGATCAGAAATACTCCAGTGCGAGGAGTGAAGCCGGTGAAGCAGTCAACACCAAACTCATCATGACCATCGGGCGCAGAGCAAGCCGTTAAGATGGAATGGTATATCATTAGCGGAGGACCGGCTTGTCGACAAGATAAAGCTCCCATTGTGTCGAGGTAGCCCAACCAGCGGGCGAAGAATGCCCCGATCCTGTTCCCAGGCTGCGCCATGCTTTCGCTCCGTGCAAGGAATAAATCACGAGCAAGCTTCAGGTGACTCTTCCAGGTAATCGGCACTTCAAATGTCCTTGGAGAAACGATCTTTAATGACAAAAGCATAATGGCCGTGGCCAGGTGACTGTCAGTAATGTTTTCACTGGATGACTCCAATGCCATACGCAGGGTTGGGAAAACCTGGCTGACCCAGTGAGCAATTCGATTAGCGGGCTCAGGATGACCTAGGTATCGAGCACGATGACTAGCGGAGTATGCAAGCAGCAAATTGAGGAGATTGGAATCACCGATTGCCACTATCCGGTCAGCTTTCTAAAAGATCACAGAACATATAGCAGTACAACTCACTTGATGGCAAAACTGAGATAAACGGATTATTATCACAGTTGTGCGGGACAAGCATCCGAGCAGTGTGGTTCAGGAAATGATGGAAGTACATCAAATTGATAGGGTTCTCCAGCAGGGATGACGGAAGCGGAGACAAGTACCTCGGGACATTGATGGGTACGGGGGAAGCATAGTAGCCACTACAAAACTGGACCTGTGGTTCGGGGTCAGGTTGAGCGGTTTTTGTCTGCGAGGGGTCTTCATTCCGTCGCCGAGAACTGATCAAATCCAACGCGTAGTTGATATCTATGGCAGCATGGTCGTTGTTAAAAGTCAGATCCTGATCAGGGCGCCCGGAGTCCAATCCATAATTGTCGGTTACACTATTCAGATATGTTTGCCATTTGCTCCGGGCCATTGAAGACTCGTGGGATGTCTGATCAGCTTCATGATTGCTCTCTGTCAATGCCTGATGATCCGGAGTTAATTCATTGTGATAGTCATGTATAGAGCCCATGTTGCTGGTTGTCTCGTGGAGCCTCGGAGATGTGGTTGCGTCATTTTCAGCAATCGACACTCTGTGTGAATCGAAAAGCATGGAGGACAGGCCATCGGTATCCTGTCGGCTGTTTGAGGATCCGTTTTGCCCTGTCCCAGACCCGGGGCCAATATGCATGCTCTGGTTATCAGGGGACTCTCGAGAAAGGTGGCTTTCATCACGAGATGGATCCAAGCAATGACTGGAAGCATCTACAGGGTGGCGTAGGTATGAGACTGGCTGTGAGACAGAGTTTGTATGGAATGCAAAGGCAGAGAGTGATCTGAGGCCAGATGTCTGATCTACCGAATCCAGATATGGCGGGGTATCAAAACTCTGCTGTCCAAATTGATATTGCAACAAAGGCGCCGAGGATACTGCTGTCGTCAATGGAGGAGATTGTTCCGCCCAGGTTGAGGAGAACCGAGGCTCTAATTGGCCCGGCGATGTCACCCCTTCAGAGCATGAGCCGAGCCTGGGGGATTCGAAAAGGCCCACTGGTGCTGGTGTACTTGGAGACATCGCTCTCGGCGAAGTCAAGTCTCCGGGATGAATGTTAAGAAATCCATCTGCAGGGTTGTTGCTTGTTGGAGTTGGGAACGAAGTCGGGCTCAGATTGTTGATAGCGAATGAGTCCGTGAATCCAATTACAGCTCCTCCATACCCACTCGATTGTGAATTCGGCGAGTCAATTGACATGCGTTTCGTCCTTCCTCCCCAGTTCAGACGAACGCTATAGTCGCAAGGGTCACCTTGTCGCTGGCAATTAAGACATGCTGGTTTCTCCTCACCACTACATAGATAGTGTTAGCCACATGAGTATCATGCAGGGATTGTGCTTCTCACCATTTTACCTTGCGTGCTTTGCACGGCCTAGTTCGATAGTTAGTCTTGGCAAAAGCTTGTATTGATATTTAAACAACGTACCAGCATCCCTTACGGCTCCGACGCTTCGGTTCTGGTGCACCAGGCCTTCTAGGACGAGGCATTGCACGTCAGGGGGCGCCTGGTCGAGTACCGCAGAGACAATTCAAAATAACAGAGGCTCGAGATAGCCAAAGGTCACAATGTATTGTTTCACCGCCATACAGATTTGGTATTTTCAAGTCTGTGTCAATCTAATCGAGCCTTTCGCTTACGCTGAAAGCACGTCGGAGCTGTCACGCTTTCTGCGCTTCGATCCTGATTGACCCCAAGTAGCGATAAAGCGATAATCGACCAGACACCCACACCTGGTATACAAGCACATCGAGGTATGGGAGGGAGATGTGCCAGGAAAGTTTTGAATCCCACTGCCCTTCAGCAATGGGTAAGAGAAGCCGACAATGAGCAGGGTAGTGTCGATCTTCACGACCTTAGATATGGAACAAGACGTCAAATAGAAGACGACTCTGCTGAATATGTTCAATTGACCCGCTAGGTAGTCGACTGACTTCACTGTGCAGAGAAATAGCACAAATTCACAGCAAAAGCCCCAATCTTGATGCAAAGATGAAGGTTGTCTTTCGGCAGACTAAAAGTGTGGGGAAGCACATGGCCGAGATAAGAAACGATGAATCAGCCGGGTTATGTTATAATCCGATATCGAGCGGCATACCGCGGGAAACCGGAATTTCCCGCCAGAAGCCGCTACCTGTCACGTGGACTCACACCTTCAACCAAACGTCATAGCTTCCATCTGGGCAGTTCCTTAGATGTACATTGGTCCCTTGAGCTGCGCTTTGATAGCATATTTGGAGGAGTTACTTTCTAGGTTGAACATTAAAGTAGGACTTTAAAGCGCTTGAGTTCTACTTTGTTTCCCAATATGGCCAAATCTCTCATCGATAGGCATCCGCTGCAGTGGATGCCGAGCCCTTCACGGGGCTTGTCAGCTGTGGTTCATGTACGTACCGTGGTCCTTTCAGTTTACATTTTGGTCCAGCACTAATGGGTTGTTTTCCAGTTGGTCGGACTTTCGAGCTTTTTGTGGTCATTCAAATAGTATGGATCCTCTATGAAACTGTACTTTGAGGGGTTTGCTGACATTCTTGAAGCATGCACGAAAACCCTAACCAAGCGTAAGCCCCTGTCTAGTTTGGATATTGGAAACCACGCTAAACTTTATATTTGACAGTAATGAAGCATATGGTTGGCATTTTCAATATCTGACCGTGATTGGCCTATCGTTGTCAACACTCACATTTGCGGTCGCATTACTAGCAGATATTACCTCGTCCCGGCGACTGTTCCTGATCAAAAACATACTATCGATATGCAGTGCACCCCTTGAGGTTGTGATCAGTGTTTTGTACTGGGGTCTTCGTTCGGTAAGCGATTCGACGAGATGCCCAATATGAAATTCCCACTAATCCAAGTATAGATTGATGAGCGTTTGGTGATTCCCGAAGATCTTTTCATACCCCTTCATGCCGGTATGTCTGTGGAAAGTACATTTTGGGATTCCCCTACTAACAAATTTATAGATATCAGCTTCCACGCAACACCGTCGGTGGTGATGTTGGTTGACCTGCTGCTCTTGTCCCCACCCTGGACGGTCACTGTACTCCCCGCACTAGGGTTATCTAGCACTATCGCCTTCGGCTACTGGTTCTGGATTGAGCAATGCTTCTCCCAAAATGGATGGTTCGTATATGACCTTGCACTGCCGAGGTCACCTGCTAATTAATATAGGTACCCATATCCTATCTTTGAAGCACTGCCCACATCAGGTCGTATTGGCCTATTTACTCTCAGTGCCCTCATAATGACATTGAGCACGGTTACTCTCAAGTGGCTCCATGGACGTGTCAATGGATTCGGCAACCCCATGAAGCCGGAATCCCGTCCGGGCGATATTAAGCGAAAGAACGGTCTGTAGGCACGTGTATTGGTATTGCAACAATGTTTTTACATTGATCGGACTCACTTGGCGTCTCATGTTTAAGGCGGTTTCTAATCCCGAGGTAGCTGCAAGAAGGAAAATCGGGCATATTGCATTGATCATAAGCGTCTTGGTTATTGCCTTTTTTTTTCGGGTACATTCATGTACATTTCACCCCACAATATCTCAAATGCAAACTCTAGCTACAATACTATCAAGATCCAACTTAAACGCAATGAATAAATCACAACGAGCGTGCAAAAAAATCAATATAAACATACTCCCGTAAGCTCAAATGCGTAGGTGGGAAATCTGTTCGACCACCCGAAAAGATTATGCAGCAAATGTTCCAGTCATAGGCTTTTTGAACCAACGCTTGCCCCATGGGGTGCCTATTGCAAACTAGGGTATAATAAATTAACCCCAGATTACAGTCGCAGTTTAGGTACCCGTGCGCTGCTGACTGAACTCGGTTACGTGCGACGATCACCCCATACAGCGCCATAAAAGCCGTGCGCACAATGGATGCCATAATGGATGCGGGGCTTAGCGTAACTGCCCGAGAAAGGCCAGCGCTATCAGAATCCCTTTACCACGGAATATTTTGTATAGCTGTATGTTCATTGGGCCGAGTTGTTCGGGGCTGCGGAGCAAGATTGTTAGCGAGATCAATGCCGAGACAACCCTTCCACAATGCCGAGTCCACTGTCCAATCAAAACATGGAGAAAAAGGTCATTATCTTTAGTGGGTCCAGGAGATTACACAGTCAATTGGCTCGATGGGCGTTAACCGCACCCCCTTTCGACTAGCTTCGGATTTCGGTACTGAGTAGATCAACCTTCATTATAGTCACGTCGGCCGACACCACCACCAATGTGCTCTCGGCCGAGTGCACATAGTAAGGACATACATTTCTGAGCAAAACCGAGGTCTCTCGTGTTCAATCTAAAGGAGCGGGCCGTTGTGGACTTGGCAATTCATACATCAGATGGGGACGGGAAAGCTTCGCTTAGTGGAGCCCGGGGTATATGCGGGGGATGTCCTAATTTTCCCCAGATGCCCAGACTCAACCTATACATCAAATATACCATACATCCATAGTAATATACTGAAGTCCAGGGGGTTAAGACTTAATATCAGACTAAATCAGATACAGTACAATAATGCTGACCCTTTTTTTCTTATTCAAACTCTCTTTGTGACCCAATTTCATGCAGATCATACCCGAATCACTCAATTCCATGCCGATCAGCCCGGGCCCCAGCATCCAGATCCAAACTAATGTTGCAATTCCTGCACGCGGGATAGGACACGGGCCAGGGTGTAGCCACCATCATTCAGCTAGACGCTAGGAATCTCACAGGTCCATCTACCGAATATAAGCGATCGCGTGTTTGCCCCTCTTTACCAAGTACTTGGTGGCTTTTGGTTTCCTTAGATTGGAGTTTTCTCAATTTCTTCATAAATAGCTCGCAGGCCGGCGAAAAGCAGTCGTATATTTCGGAGCATTTCCCCCTGCCGATCTGCTCGATCTTGCATTATGGTTAATTCCTTTGAGAAACCAACCGAGTCCCGGTCTTCTGACCCCGAGAAAATTCTCGATTCCAAGGATCCCCTTGCTGCTGCTGGATTTGAGGATCCCGATGCTGGATTGAGTGATGAAGAAAGGGCAGAAATCGTATGTTATCCCTTGTTTTCCCATGTTACTCTTCAACAACATCATTTCATTTCAAGTTTCAGCAACTGATTAAAACAAACACAATAGGATCGTAAGCTACTATGGCAACTTGATATCCGGCTCGTACCATGGCTCAGTCTACTTTATCTTGTCTCGTTCCTTGATCGGTAAGCAAGAGCACCTTGGAATCAATCCAGGATCCATGGACTCGCTACCCGAGGAAATATCACTGAACTAATTTTGACCTCGTTCAAAGGACAAATATCGGAAACGCAAAACTTGTCGGTCTTCAAACAGATCTGAACATGACAAATGCTCAATACAATGCAACCCTGACTATCTTTTTCGTCTCGTACTCCGTCTTCGAGCCCGCGACTAACGTCCTGCTCAAGCGGTTGCGGCCGAGTATATTTATCCCACTTATTATGATGGCATGGGTAAGTGAAATATTCCCTTTCTTTTGGTTTACTATTCTTCTAACCAATTGCAGGGAATTTGCATGACCTTCATGGGCTTCGTAAAAAACTATAATGGGCTAATGGCCGTCCGCTGGTTCCTGGGCCTATCAGAAGCCGGTCTATTCCCTGGAGTAGGCTATTTCCTCTCATGCTGGTACAAGCGCTCCGAATTTGGTGTGCGAATGGCAATTTTCTTCTCCGCGGCCGCGCTCGCAGGTTCCTTTGGCGGACTGCTAGCAGCAGCCATTGCGAAGATGGACGGCGTGGCCGGTAAGCCGGGCTGGTCTTGGATTTTCATTTTGGAAGGCCTTCTTACCTTCATCATTGGCATTGCCTCATTTTGGTGTGTCTATGACTTCCCAGATCAGGCGCGGTTCTTGTCCGACATCGATCGCAAGCGTGTTCTTAGGAGACTCGCGATGGATCAGCAATCGAGTGCTGAGCATGAGGAGTTTAAGATGGACTACTTTTGGTCCAGTCTGAAGGATTGGAAGACTTATACTGGAGCTGTTATTTATATGGGGGCTGATGGGTCGCTTTATGCGTTCTCGCTTTTCGTGCCTACTATTATCAGTGAACTAGTGAGTTGTGTTGTCACATTGCGAGATTGGAAACTGTTGAGCTAACATGGGTTTCTAGGGTAATTATTGACATTGGATATTGCGCCCGGTATATCACAGCTATTTACTAATTGCTTCTAAAGGCTACAGCTCGATTCGTGCTCAGTTGTTGAGTGTACCGCCATATGCCGCCGCTGCCGTTTTGACAGTGACAGTCGGATTCATCGCAGACCGTACGAGACAGCGTGGTCTCTGCAATATCGCCGTTTCGCTCCTCGGTATGATAGGATTCGCCATGCTCTTAGGCTGTGAGTCCGCCGGTGCCCGCTACGCAGGAACCTTCCTCGGAGCTATGGGCATCTACCCAGCCATTGCGAACACGATTTCATGGACTAGTAACAACACCGAAGGTAACTTTTGTCCTGAACT